GTATTGCTTAAGGTGGTATGATGAATATTGAAGGTATGATGAAGTGTTCATAATGAATTAAAGCAGAATAAATCAAAATAAAAAAAAATTATCTGAATGGAATATTTATTTTATATATTAGGCTATTTCGTTATAATAATAATTATAATAAATTATAATAACCCACGACAGCTCAATTACCAGCTCTATTACAATTTGGGACAGAGTAAATATCATGTCTTCATCCTAAAATTTGCTTAATATTTCATACAGAACAGATAGACATATTTACATACATATTATGTACGTTCACCAAAAATATTATTCACTTTTATTTTATTTATAATTTAAACTTCACAATAAATTTTATTTATATGATGTCAAATATTAAGTATTAATCATTTCTTTAAATATATAAAATAAAACTACATTGATACATCCAAAATTTTTGTATACATATGTATGTATGTTTATTATTGGTTTAAGTACATACAATGAAATTACTAAACTATTTAAAATTTTGAATTTTATTTTTAAATTTATGAAAAATTTCCAAGAAAAAAAATTTTATTTTTGAAATTCATTTTGCTGGAATTTCATAGATGTTTTTAATATTATTATTGTTGTTTTTGTTTTCTTTTGTTATCGAAAAATGTTTCATGTTACAGTTCAATAAGTCAACAGGTACCCTATGTTTTGGATAAATATTTCGTGTATTTTCCGTAGAATTGAAAATTTCTAAATAATAATGAATTTTTTTAATGAAACTTAATGATTTGCAAAATATTGTTTGTTGACGCGAGCTTAGGGAACCCCTAAATATTTGCTTCAAAAACGATTTTAAATAGTAATTTCAAAAATTATTCACATTTTTTTATTAATAAAATTTTCTTTTTTAAAAGAAAAACATTAATCTTAAATGTGTAAAATGTACTTATTTAAAATATATACAATATGTATGTATGTATGTATTATTTAATATAAATATTGTTTTAAACTTTTATATAACATGTTCAGTGTCTTATATAGTTGAATATATGCATTTATGAGTAAGTATATATTATTAAATTGGTTTTTGTTCAAGAACATAGCATTTAAAATGGAGCGATGCATACATGTAGGTATGTATGAATGAATGTGTTTCTGTTTTAGTACCTCGTTTTCTTTTAAAACCTGAAAAAAAATACATATATTAAAAATATAAAAATTAAAATAATTATTCAAAAAATAATAAAATGTTGCGTTAGTTATATATATAGTATATGTATATATAAGTATATATAAATATGTATATAAAATAAGTATGTAAACAAAAAATATGTATATAAAATAAGTATTTCTTTATCTTTTTGTTTTTTCCTAGTTTTTACATTTTATATTTTTATTTACTTGACCCCATTTTTTTAGCTTTATGGAAAAATAAAAGCTATATATATAAAAAAAATTTCACTATGCTTTTTTTTTGTTATTTTTCTCACTGTAGACGATGATTTAAAATTGCACACACTAGTCATACATGTACATATTATATTTCATAAATTCTATTTCTAGGGTTATTAAAATTGAAGAAGAAGATGAAGAAGGAAAAGGAAAATAAGATCTGTATTTTTACCCCAGTTTTTCTTTTCTCTTAACTGATATACATACTAAATTTATATTAATAAATTTCATACTACTAATGTAAATACTTCGTATATAAAAGTATAAATAAAATATTTTATAATACATATATAAGGTATATTGTATAAAATTATATAAGATATATATTTACATATGTATGTGCTTATGCTATACATACTTAAAGTCTCAAATTGTGTACATAATGTGTATTTATGTACGTATGTATGTATAGTACGAATTATTGTGTATGTATACCAATTTTAAAATATAAATTCTGAAAAGTAAATATTTTCTCTTTAAAAACTTTAGTACTTGTTTCTTTAACTATAATGCAAACAATATACATATATGTATATACTTATAATATAATAGATGTATGTACATATTTAAGTACATAATATACATTTGTACATATATTTAAATTAAAAAATAATTTTTAAAGTTCAAATAAGTTTACTTGAAGTCTATGAAGTTTTATACAAACTAGAAAATGAAAAGAACAAAGAAGTAATAAAAGAAAAATTGCATTTAATTTTCTTTTTAAATCTAAAGAAAATTGAGTAATTTTTTTTTATTTTGTGTTTTTCTACACAGAAATAGAAAAATTCAATCTGTACTGAAATAAGAATGAATTTAAAATGATATTTTAATAGAAAACAAGAGATAGAGGGAGAGGAAACAGACGGAAGCGAAGAGAGAAATATTAAAGATAGTAACGTTATGACACTTACGACGATACTAGAATGAAAAGATATATGAAATTTCTATTGGAAATTTAAGAAAGCAAAAAACGAATGTGTCCATTGATTCATTTGTGAATATTTTGTGTTTGTAATAGGGGATAATTTTCTTGAAGGGCGACACAGATAAACATTCATACGTATAAGTATATATATATATATATATATATATGTATGTATGTGTAAGAATATAGATATTTTTATTGATTTGTATAGGTGACATAAAAATTATCAATTATTTCATTGAAATATAAATTGTGTTATGAGATTTTTTCATAATAAAACAGAATGAGAATAATTTAAATAGTAAAATCAAATTTTTTAATCAAATATAAATAAAAATAATAACATATGTAAGTGAAAAGATTTGAAGAGTAAAAAGTAAAAAAAAAATAGTCTTGGTCTTTGCTAAAATTTGGAATTACCGCCAATTGTAATTTAATTTTATCTTAATCAAAAACTTTAAAATTGATAAAATCGATAAATGTGTTACAAATACTTTCGAATTAAAAACTAGATACTAATTATTGAAATTTTATTTTTAAAAGAAAATTCTCAGCAAAACTGAAACTTTGGAGGACCGGTTTTTTTGAGATTTCGTAATGACTTTTTCAAATCTCGTTATGGAACCTTGTACTTGAGGAACCAGTTCCAGTTCTAGTGGGTTAATCTTGCCCATTTTTAATTTGCGTTTGCCTACTTGTTATGATTTTATTTGTACCAATTTCTATTACTTATCTACCTCTTCCCGTTTTCGATGGAGTAGTTTGATTCGGAGCTGAGCTAAAACTTTATGAGATCGTAAAATTTTTCTTCTTTGCGTCATATGAAGTATGACAAATTTAATTTATTCTGTAAATACTTATAAAATTTGAAGAATATAAAAATCTTGTAATTGGAAAAAATTAGAAAAGCGAGAAAGCTTCTGAAAATCTATGAAAATTAGTAATCTTCAATTTAACACACTTCGAAAAATTTAAATATTGTTCTTAGTTTGTGTGTTAATATGGCTCATATTACCACCGGACTCTTTAAAGGGCTGGATGTTTGTTCATTTGTTCGGCTGTTAGAAAATATGTTTAGTAAGGGTTTATTACTTTAAATTTGTAAAAATTTACGATATTTTTTCAGTACATCAAAATTTTATCGTCGTCGTTTCTATAGTTAATTTATATTTAAAGTTTTCAATGTATTCAATTGTATTGAAAGTTCATTAAATTGTTATTTATAGAAAAAAAATTTTGATAAATAATCAATTGGTATAACTTTTAATAATGCCTACAATAATTTAATCTATTTTAAACGTTAAATTGAATTTTTTTTTAAATTACGTAAAATTGTTAACGTGATCATTTCGAAGATGTTTAATTATTTTATTTGTATGTAAGTATCCTTATCAAAAAAAATTACATATATTGAGCAATGTGAATAGCAATTAATTGAAAAAAATAAATGGAAGTTTTCAAGTATGCAAAATTGTATGAAAAGAAAACGGTATTATGTATTAACTATACAAGAAAATATAAAAGTTATTAAAGAACAATGCAAACAAATTAATTAGATAAATTTATTTACTTATAAACGTGATTAATTGGTGTTTAAAATCAAATTGAACAGAAGTGAATCAAATGTGTTTGGTAGTATATATATATATATATATATGTATATATATATATATATATAATATATGATATACTATATCATAAATATATAAAAACATTAAGTTTTCAATAGTTTAGTTTTTCTGAACAGCAGAATTGACATTATTGTGTGTTGAATTTTTACTTACATAAATTATTAATATATCAAAGGCACTATTTTGTGGTTAAAATCAATTTTTTTTTGAAATTTAATTTTAATTGACAATTTATTTGATATGATTAAAAGCGTTTTTTGTTTTTTATTAAATTTTGTATATTTTCAAGTTTTATACAATATTCTGATTATATGCATATTCAAGGACCAAGTTATTAGAAATGTTGTATTAATCGATTGTTAAATTTTCCCTTAAAAAATTTAACTATAGGTGATTACTTTAGTAATTCGTACAAATAATGGTTTCGAAAAAGCGGATTGTTTTCTATTAATTTTCTTTAGGGTGCATAAAGAACTAAATCAAATAATCCTGATTGATGAAAAAAGGCAAATTGTTCATTTTTGGTAGTCATTTCACTTTTTAAAAGTTTTTAATATGGGTATTAAAGAACACTAAGACTTTTTTTATATACATTTATAAAATTTGTATTTATGTATGTATATTAAGGAATATTAATTTTCTATATACTTAAATTATAATTTTATGATTTCATATAATTAATTTTTTTATCTTTTTTTTTAGTTTGAATCTGCAAATTGCTTTTAATTTTTAACTTATATTCAGTTCATAAACATATTATTAATGAAATATAATTAAGATGTTTCTTATTTACAATAATCAAGTTTTAATTTCATTTCAATATATTAGACTACGTTCGCAAATCTAGCATAAAACGGGAAATGGAAAAAAACTATTTCAATTTAACAGTCAAAGACACAAGACACAAGTCACAATTTCTTTACATAAATATTTTAGTTTTCTTATTTGTGCTATGCTTAAATTTTTCATTTTATTTTACACTTATTCATTTAGTTATGTAATTTTTATTTTGTTTTTTCTTACAGATTTTTATTCTAAAAAACCCCGAATAAGATAAAAGAAAAAAAAAAAACAAACAAACAAAAATAAATAGTAAAAAAATGCCTTATTTAAAACCGGCGATCAGGATGTTTTTTATACCAGAAACGTAATTAAGACACAAACAAATAAAATATCTTAACATTTAAAAATGTATTTCATGAAAATTAAGAACATAATAGCTATTAAACGTTTATATTTAATATTAGGAAAATATTAAATACGTTTTATTTAATAAGTATAAAGGCCAAATTTTGATAAATTTAAATTTAATATATAATATATATACAATTTATACGTAAAAAGATACAAACCGTAATAGAAGTAAAGTTATAAATAAAACACAAAAAAAAAAAATAAAAAAGAAAAAACAGAAAAAATGGCAACACCACAAACAAAAGACTTAATTTTACATTCACCAGCTGGAGCTGAAGTAATTCGTTATCCTTGGCCACTTCAAATTGGATCTGGTTCGGACAAACATGACAATGGTATTGATATTATTGAAACAATACGTTTTGTTTGTGAAGATATACCTGAAATTAGATCAACATTCGAAGAAATTAATTTTAATGAACTGGACACTGCCTGTTATAAGACTATGACATCATTTGTCGAAAGATTTAACAAAGCAATTGATAGTATTAAAAATTTGGTAAGCCAGAAACTAATTTAAAATTACCTTAAAGCATAACCCTGTGGTGAAAAGAAAAACAAAAATGGTGTAGACGTGAAATTTAATTTAAAGATACTCTTAAACTTATAATATTAAGTTAAACTAGAAAAAAATATATGTATCTAATTTATTTAATGTATGGTTTTAAAAATTAAACACCAACACCAATGGGCTAATATTTATATTGTGAAATAAAAAGAAAAAAAATTACATATTCAACAATATATTTCTAAAATTTACTTTTTAGGAGAAAGGAACATCACTGCCAACGCAACGATTAAATAAATTTGCTTCTCCAAATCTTCTAAGACATATATTGCAATTAGTTTATAATGCTGCCGTTATTGACCCAGATAAATTAAACCAATATGAACCCTTTTCACCTGAGGTATATGGAGAAACATCTTATGAATTGATTCAGCAAATGATTAAACAAGTTAATGTACAATCAGATGATACCTTTATTGACTTAGGTTCTGGTGTTGGCCAAGTAGTATTACAAATGGCTGGTTCAGTTGAATTAAAAGCATGTATAGGTATCGAGAAAGCTGATGTACCATCATCATACGCTCAATTAATGGATTCACATTTTCGATTATGGATGAATTGGTTTGGAAAGCGTTTTGGCGAATATCATTTGATCAAAGGAGATTTTTTAGCAGACGAACATCGCGAAAAGATAACTTCATCAAGTTTAGTATTTGTTAACAATTTTGCTTTTGGTCCTACAGTTGATCACCATTTGAAAGAACGTTTCGCTGATTTACGAGATGGGGCCCGAATTGTTTCGTCAAAAAGTTTTTGTCCTTTAAACTTTCGAATAACGGAAAGGTAAAGGTTTTATTTTATTTATCATAAGTATAGTTATAAAAGCAGCATAATCTTTAATTTGAATTTTAATCAAGATATTCGACAAACTGATCGGCTAAATTACAATCAAAACTATTAAAGTAATATTTCGAATATCTTATACGAAGCCAAATTAAAATTTTTCTGTTCTTAAAAAATTATTTAGGTAGTAACAATGTATTGGTTTTGTTGAAAAAATTGATTATAGGAAATAAAATATACAATAGAATTTTGTTATTAAAGCACTTCGTTTTAATTTTAGAAATTTAAGTGACATCGGAACAATTATGCATGTTAGTGAAATGACCCCACTTAAAGGTTCTGTATCTTGGACTGGAAAACCTGTTTCTTATTATCTCCATAAAATTGATAGAACTAAATTAGAAAGATATTTCCAACGTTTAAAAATACAGAAAGGAGCTGAGCATGATTCTAGTGGTGAGTTATTTCAATTCAAAGAAAGTTCATTTTGTAAATTTTTTTGTTGACAGTCATCAAATTCACGCATTATTATTTGCTTTAAAATCATTTTTTTAACTTGTTGATTCTGTAAACTAAATTCAATGTTTTCTTTATTGGCCGTTGAAATTATGTGAATGTATTTTATAATATGTCAGTTTAGTTTTGGTATAATTTTAAAATAACGTTAGAAAATAGTTTATATTGAATATTGCTGTAATGAGCTTTTTAAAAATTTTAGGCACGACCACTCGTACAACTAGAGAGCGTTCTAAAAGGAATATGGCGAACAGTGCTGGGAACAACAATCAAAATAGCCATTCAACTAACAACGCTTTTGGCAGTAATAATAGTAATAATAGCACCAATAATAACATCAATATTAATAATAGTAATAATAACAACAATAACAATAATAGTGACATTAATATTGATAATACAAATAATAATAGTAACGACATTTCAAATAATAATAATAGTAATAATAATAATAATAGTGATAATGATAACAATAATAACAGTAATTATAATAATGATAACAAAAATAATAATAACGACAGTAATAGTAATAGCAAGAACAATATTATTAATAATAATAATAGTAACAATAATAATGATAACAAAATTAATGTAAATGATATTTGTAATAATATTAATAGTGGCAATAATAAAAATGACAACAATAATAGTAAAGAAAATAATAACCAAAATATAAACAATGGTGAACCTTCACCAGTAACAATCAATAATAACAATAAAAACAATAATAATATTGCTAATAAAAATGATAATGATAATAGCAACAGTAGTAATCAAAGCAGTTGTCATGAAAACAGCGGTAAAATCAACCATGTAACTAATAACATCTGTAACCATGCCAATAATAACATCACTACTAATAGCAATAGTAATAAAATTAATAGCAATAGTAACAGTAATAGTAATAATGACAACAGTAGTAATAATAAAAATAATAACAATAACATTAACATTAAAAAAAATGCTAATGTTAATAATACTGTAAATAATAATAATAATAATAATGATAATAGTTTTGATAAAAACATTGGCAATAATAATGATAACAATAATAATCAAAATAATAAGAATAACAATGATAATAGAAATAAAAATAATAACAATAATGATAAAAGTTGTAATAAAAATACAAATAATGATTTTGGTAATGAAAAAAATTGGAATAATAATGATAATATTAATAATAACAATAATGGAAATAAAAATAATAGCAACAATTCTAATAATAAACTTTATATTAATAATAATGGTAATAATACTATAACTAATAATACTACAAACAATAATAATCATATGTGTAATGATATTAATAATGAAAATAGTAAGGATAAAAATCATACTATTAATAAAAATAATAGTAGCATTGAAAATAATGATAGCAGTAATAATAACAAGAGTAATAATAATGTCAACAAAAATAGTAGTAACAATAATAATAGTAATAGTAACAATTTAAATAATATGATCAAATCTACCACTCCAACGCCTGTGGCAATACCGACACGAAATTCAACTCCTACCGTAACAACGTCTACATCTGCTTTACCAATAACGAACTCAGATAAACATTCAAATACAAGTATAATATGCAGCAGTTCCATAAACAATAATAAAAACAACAATATTGTTAAAACTGATGCTTTAGTTCCAATTAAACAAACTGAAAGTGATTCGTCTTCATCAGAAAGCGATACAGATCAGCCAGCTGGAACACAAACTAGGCGTGGATGGTATGAGTGGTATAGCAGTTCTAAAGATAAAAGTAGTCAATCAGACGAAGAAGAGAACAATAATTATAGAACAAATTCACGTAATAATGGTCAGAGAAAAGGTACAGTTACACAGAAGAAAAGAAAAAAGTTAATGAGAAAAGCAGCTATTACCGCAGCTACCAAAACAAGTCAAACTTTAAATAACTCTACGAACGTTAATAGTACACAAGAAAAAACTGCTCCGGCTATGCAAACAAATAAATCTACACCAGTTGATACAATTTTTCGTAGCACGAAACGCGGGCGAATGAAAAAAGGACGTGGAAAAAGATGTTTAAAAATCACTGGATTAGATATTCTACATACACAAACTTTGTTAAGCACTAGTGCTGAAATGATGAGTAAAAAATTACCTCCAGCTCCTGGTTGTGTTGATCAACAATTGACTTCATTGTCAGGTATTTAATTTGCTTATGCTATAGAATTTTTAAAGTAATTTAAATTTAAAATATAACTTTTTAATCAATTTCCATTTTAGGAAACATGTATCATGAAGAATTGGAAATACCAAAGGAAACTGATACTCCTTATTCATTACAAATTTTATTAGAAAATTTTAGAGCACAGTATATGGCTGTTTTAGAACAAATGAAGAGTAGTAGTTATAAGAAATCAATCAATGATGAAATTAAAAAGGAACAAGATCATAAAGAGATATTAAAAAATCGAATAAATCAGCTGGATAAACAAATAAAGGTTTTAATTGAGGATAGCGTCAATTTATTGAAAGCCAGAATGAATGAATTGGGAATCAGTATGACTTCCCAAAACGATTTGTTAGCCAAAGCAAAAGAAATCGTTGGACGACATAAAGAGTTACAGTTAACCACAGCAAAATTAACAAATCAAGTTAATAAAATTGAACAAGAACAGAGAATTCTCATTGAAAACAATTTGAGGGCATTGATGTTTAAAAGTAAACTCAAAGGAACTAATGGGTTACATTTACCCAATAATGATATCACTTTAACTAATGATTTGACTCCAGCCGCTTCGCATGAGTTGGTTTTAAAAGAAATAGCAAATACACTTTCTCAACGTAAAAAATTACATAATCAAGTATCAAATTTGGAGGTTGACATAAAATCCATAGAAAAGGCGGCTGAAGAAAAGAAACAAGCAGCATTAATTTTAGCACAACAAAGCCCACATTTGACCGTTACAAATGTTACTACAACGGTTAATAATCTTCATCGAGAAATTTTACGGGAACGAGACAAAGATAATCATGTTAATAATCAGTACAATAACAGTCATCATAACAATCAGCATAACAGCGGAAACAATACAAGTTCTCACAGCAGTAGTTCTTCCGAGCGGTCCTCAAAATCATCAAAATCTTCTCGTAGAAATCGGGAGCACAGAACTCGTTCGCAAGAATGGCCAGATGTTCCAGATGTTGGTAAAATTGAAGAAAATAATCCTGAAATTTTGGCACAAAAAATTTTAGAGACTGGTAGAAAAATTGAAGCGGGAAAACTAAATGCTGGAAATATTGGAGGTCTTAGCAATGCTACTTCAGTTACTGTTTCCTATTCTAGTAAACATAAAGATGAAAGAAAACATAGCAATAATACACCAAAAGATGTACATTATAATCAACATCTTCCTCAAGTTGGTCCCGACAGTGCTTTAATGCCAGCTCCTCCGCCATCTAATATAAAGCAAGCTCATTCAGAACATCATAGACCTAACTCAGATTTAGTTAGAGGAAATTTGCATCCGTCGCCGAATCGGCAATCTTCAAAGTCAAGTCCTATTGTTATTAGTCCCATTAATACCAACAATACGCAACCTCAATTGCAACAGCCACAAGTGCAGCCAGTATCTGTTACACCACCAACAGCACCCACAGCGAAATTAATACAAGAGTCTCCGAAAGTAGTTAATTTTGAAGATCGCTTAAAAAGCATAATTACCTCCGTTTTAAATGAAGATCAAGAACAAAGGAAACAAGCTGCTCATCAAACTGGTGACACCAGAAAACAGTCTCAACCACAACCTCCGACTGTTCCGCTTAGTGCTTCTAACAAATCTGCTTTAAACCAGCAACAGCATCAAACCTTGATAAATGATCAACAGAGAATGGTTCAACACCACCAATCACATATATCTAGCAATATAAATTCTATTTTAAACGTTGCCACCCAAGGCCCTACTCACTTGAATTCAACAACAACCATTTCACCCATAACACCACCACCATATGGAGGTCAGCCCCCTCCCCCTCCACCGCCTCCTGTAGTAAATCCTCATCGGCATGAAATAATATCTGGTGTGTACAAAGGTAATCCTTCAACATCTCTTTATGGGAGTGAAAGAAATTCGAACAGGGAAAAAGATCGTCCCGCGAATGTACCATCTCAATCCGCAGCAGCTGTTATGTCAGCCGCAATGCAATCTAACGTCGTTTCTATGCAACATGCTGTTCATAGTACTGTTTCAAACAATCTTCAGAAATATTATTCCAAGGGTTTGTCTGTTAATGTTTCACCAAGTCAACCACCTCATCAAGTGTCTCATCAACATCGTGATCCGGTTCAACATCAAAGTTCACATCAACTTCAACAACCATCTCAACATGCAGCACAGCATCAGGCTTCCCTTCAAACTTCACATCAATCTCCACGTCAGCCTCCTCATCAAGCCGCCCATCAACCACCTCATCCCCTTTCCCATCAACTTCCTCACCAACCTTCGCACCAATCTTCACATCAACCTCCCCATCAGCTGTCACATCAATCACCACATCAATCCCCACACCATCCACAACATCAATTTTCACATCAACCTTCGCATGCAACCCCACATCAGCCTACACATCAAGGTCCACATCAGCCTTCACATCAAGCACAACATTCAGTTTCCCATTCTTCGACGCATCAATCTCCACGTCAACCTTCACATCAAACCACCCACCAATCTCCACATCATCATCCTCACCAACCCCCACATCAATCCTTACATCAATCTTTACATCATACGACACACCAAATGCAGCATCAGACAGTACACCAGTCAACACACCAATCTCCGCACCAATCCCCACACCTGCCATCTCATCAACAAAATTCTGCACATCATATGCAACAGCACCATCCCCAACCACATCAAAATGTTTCAACTTCACATGGTTCTACGCATCCAGCAAATCAATCGCAAACTTTAGTGTACGCAACACAGCAACAAGTCACAACTGACCTAATGTATCGAAGAAATTATGAACATTGCTTAAACTCCCAAGAAAGATTAGAGTTTAAGACCCCAGAGCAGATGAGGTAAAAACTTTGAATTAAATATACTGAATTTTAATGCAAATTATTTTATATTTTTCTTAACTTCAGGTATGAAAAACAAGGATTTGTTGAAGAAAATGTTCGTAGTAATTCAGCTTCTTCTGACTCAGCTATGTATTATTCATCCAGAGATCGTGATCGCCAGATTTCAATCGGAAACTCTAATAATAATTCAGGTAATAACATACCTCAACAGTCGCAACAACAACCAAGTCGCCCAAGTTCAAGCTCTTCGCAGCCAGATTATACGCAAGTTTCTCCAGCTAAAATGGCGCTTCGTAGGCACTTGTCTCAAGAGAAATTAAACCATTCGGGTAATACTTTACCATCACATCCATCTGGCATGTCAAAAACCATTGGTGATTTGGTAAATGGGGAAATAGAAAGAACCCTTGAAATATCACATCAGAGTATAATAAATGCCGCTATTAACATGAGTACTGTTGGAACGTCATCTGAAAGACTACTAATCAATCCAAATGCTCAGAGACCAGAACGTGTTAATGTGCGCTTATTGGATGACGCGTCTCCATATAATTCTCAAGTGATTGATCCTTCTAACAGACAACATCCGCAACAACTTCCGCATCAACAACCACATCAACAGCAACCAACTCCACAGCAACAACCACAACAGCCCACACATTCTCAACATCAAATGCAACGAAATAGCAATGTCGATCTAGAGAGAAAGTCTCCAATGCAGTATAGTGGAAATTCTCAAAATTCAAATAGCCAAAATAGCTTAACAACATTAGCTCACGTTGCATACAATCAAAAAATACAGCCACATCAGCCAACTCTTTATAATAATAGTAATCATCACGCAAGCGGTGGTGTTATTAGTAACAATAGTAGTTCTTCTAGACGTCATGTTTCACCATCTTCTTCACGTAGCTCATTCAATTCAAGTTATGACAGACATTCATCGCAGCAACAGTTAATGCAGCAACAAACGCATTCTCAAACGCAAATTGAAAGAAATGCCAGAAACGTAGAAAGAAATTATTCGACAGTGTCGCTGCCCCGAACGGAAATCAAACCATACTTAGAATCATATTTTAATGATGAGCAAAAACCGTCAGAGGAACAGTTACCTTCCACGAGAGTATCTAGGATGATAAATCCCCCCCTTGAAGGTAAAAATTATTACAAAATTATATATTTTATAATTTTTTTTAAAGTTTTTGGTTTCTTAAAATTTTTTCTTCTTTCTTTGGAAAAGGGTATTCTGCCTTTATTTAAAATCTTAAAAATGATTCTTTGGTTTTACGTCGATTTTGTTCAAACATAGCTTTTTTTAAATTTCAAATTATGTAATATATAATTATTCTTTAATTTTCAACAAATTCTTCTTTCTCGTTGCATAATTTCTTCCTTCTCGCTAATTTTTTGTGTTTATTTTTTTTCACATAAAAATACACATAAAAAATAATCTAAAATTATAAAATTTTATTTTAAAAATTTTTAATAACAGGGTTAGCAGCTTCACTGCAAGCCCGTGTTATAGCATCTCTTAAAATAAAAGAAGAAAACGAAGAGAGATTAAGAAGATCTGAATCGAATTATTCCAGTTCAATTTCATCAAATATTTCATCAGTTAAAGCTTCCCATTTAAAAGCCGAAGGTAAATTAATAGCTTAGAAAATAAATTAAGTATATTTTTTAAAAATCACAATCGCTTTAAAAATTTGCAAAAAGGCAACAAAATTACTTAAATACAGAAACAATCTATGAATACATAAACACGAAAACATTATATTAGACTTCTGATTCAAAAGTTATTTTTATTATGTACAATAGAAAGAAAACAGTAATATATATATACTTGTGAATCTGAAGATCTAGCTAGTACTAAATTAATGCAAAACAATAGATGTTATCAAAATTAAAATTATTGTATTAAAATGATTTGGTATAAAATTCATACATACTATATGTTAATCATAAATATCTAAAATTGTTGATCAATTATTTCAGTTTATTTATTTTTTCTTTAAATGTTATAATTTTGCGTGTTGCATGATAAAGCTGTTACTTAAGTTATATTTTTATTCTATTCAGCATTTATTCTTGAATTATTTATTGAATATAATTGAACTTTAAGTTAACAAGTTATTAACTATAATTTTTTTTTAAAAAGGTTGATAAATTCATTTTTGCACATAATGCTGAATTCATTTTATATTTCTTTTCTGTAAGTCTATAAGTTATTCTGAATTCCTAATAATTTTATACTTTATAAGACGCATTTGTATAGGAATTTTAGATACACGACCTAAGCAAAAACATATTTTCGCTGAGTTATAAATTGCAAACAGACGTAATTTTTACAAAGTACCACCTTCCATATTCCGCATGAAAAATATAAACAAACTATTTCTAACCATATTTTTTAAAAAAGCTTTTCAATGCGTTGTAAAAAGCGTCCTGAAATTTCGTGTTTTTTATAAACTTTCAAGTAGTGTTGCAAGTTGGCAGTTTATTTTACTCATTCCATATTTTTCTGCCATAAGCCTTCTCAGATTTGTTTTACAATCCGCAAGCCACAATCTTTAATATACTATCTTGCAGAAGTAATAGACCAAATAATAAAATATTAAAATATTATTCGCTCGCAAGAAAAAATGCAAATATAAAATTAAACATGTTAATGTTTTGTTTGTCTATAGTGTATTTTTTAGTTTTGCTCTATTGCTGATGTTGTTTGAAATATATGCCCAAATTTAAACTGAACAATAATATTAACTTTAATGCATGTTGAAAAAATTAAAATGCAAAATGCATTTAAATAAAAATTTTATGCATTGGTGATATACATATCTAATAACCGTCATTTTTAAATATTTCCAATTTCTTGATTTATAGTAAAACGAAAATTAATATAATTTAACGTGTCAACTCTGTGATACCCGTACGAATAAATTATTTTAAATGTCGGAGATTACTTTTTACATGTCTAGTGCGGTTTTATGCCCATTTAATCTAAAAGAGTTTTACTGAAAATGATCGTCAGATCACAAAGTTCCTTTTTCAACATTCTAGCTTTGTAGACTTATGAAGTTGTATGGCAGCCATCACAGGCGGTCGAAAAATTTCAACAACTTTTATCAAACATAACCGCCCTTACAATGTATTTGCTTGTGTAAATTTTTAAAACTATGCGCTGAATAATTTCTGAGACATGGCCAAATAACTTTTGAAGTTGTCTGCCATTTTAATAATCGTTTTTGCAAAATTTCAGTACTGTAGGTTGAGAGTATAAATATGAGCAACAATTAAAAAATTTCAATGATGGCCACAAATTTTTAACAAATTTTAATTTGTCAAAGATGGACACATCACCACAATTTAGTGATACGGCCATCATCGTAATTGTTCAAAAAGTACTTTGTTCAACTAAAATATTCATTTTTAACATTGTTATATTTAAAACCAAGCATTTTATGTCACAGAATATTTTCAATATTGAAATTAAAAACAGTTTTTCCTTAATCTCAAACTTATCTTTAATTTCTAATTTAGTTGGTATGAAAAGAACATCTCCAATTGTTAATCATCACAGGCCACCAAAAATGCCTTATTATTCGGATCAACAAAATCTTGAAAATCTAACATCAGCGCCGGTAGTAGATATTTCACCTGTTAGACTTTCTAACAGCTCTATTTCAAGTTCTTATTCGAACACTACAACTAGTGGAGGTGGTTTAGGATTAATTGGAAATCATAATAGACATCAAATATTAAGAGAACAACATCCCAATTCAAATATAGTAATGGAACCGCCATTGATGAGCCCTGAAATAAATTCACTGGCAATTGAAGAACGTGTTGGATCTGCTGGTCCTGAAAGAAGTAATAGTGCTGCTTCAAACATGACTAATTCCCGAACAGGTCGTAATGAGGATGGTAAGTTTATCTACATTAATTCAAGTTAAAAATTAACTAGAGCTACTGTATACATTTTCTTGATTTGTTAATACTTTAAAAAAAAAAAAAGTAAAATTATATTATACTTTATTTTTTTATCTCATTAATTTTTTTTATTTGTTTTTTTTTTTTATTAGTTTAATATTATTTTTTAGTAGAACTTAAACTGATATGTATCTTTATTTTGGCAAAGGCATTTAAAATAGGGTGGTTCAAATAAACAAGAAATGAAATTGATATTTTTTGAATTAAAATTTTTGTAGAAACTGGGTCCTTTTTTAATAGTTACGGTATTGTAATATTTAAAATATACATATTCTAACTTTACAGAAAATTTTAATTTTCATATAACGTATGAAAAAAATTAATAACAAAGTATTTGAACCGTCCTTTTTTTGTAAATATTTATATTTTTTGTTACTAAACTTTGATTACTTTTAGATTGATTTTATTATCTGTATTCAATTAATGCAGTAGTTTTATTGAACAATAGTAGCACGCTTTCATTTTATTTTATATTAAATTTTTTATTATGGTTTTGAAAAGAAAAGCTGATAATAGTTGCAATTTTGTGAATTACTAACTTATTAAAAATAAAAAATAAAATTATTGATTTTATTCTTCAAAAAAATTTGCTTTTTGACTATAAATTTAATTGAATTTTTTCTCACATATCACAACTCATAAATCTTTCTGTACATACGTATTTCATAAAAGAAAAGCTATGTTCCGAAATGCTTAATATATATGAAATCTTATTATTTTTCGCTGGAAAGCATGAATATACGCATGGTATGCGTTTATCCGTATTAACTGCCTTTTTTCACAAATTTTAGAGTAAATTTTTATAGACTTTCAAGCAAAATTACAGAGTTATCTTATTCGAAAACTTAGTATTTCAAAAACAGATAAACATAATGAATAAAAAATTGCTTAAAAACTTATTATGCGTTTATTTAGTTTGGTCTTTTATTTTCACCTTAGCGTTAAATATATTATTTTATTATTTCCAAACTTAAGTACTTTTTAATAATTTGTTTTTCTATTTTGATTTGTTACAAGATCGTATAACAATTTTAATAATGCTTTCTTCTAATAATATTTTTTGCATAATTTTTTCAAAATTAAAATTCTAACTTCACTCTTAAATTAAACTGACCAACGGCAAAACCGGTAAAACTTAAAGGGATAGACATATATTAAATTGCCGTTTTATATGGGATTACTTTGCGAAAAATCTTTTGGAGGCGCAGTAACAGATATTTTTATCACAAATATAACTTCCATGTTTCTATTATACTCGTAACTATGTTTCTATATATATTCAAATTCGAATGTATTGCTTTTCATTTTTCACAATTTTCATTTTTTTATGTACATGATTTTTTCATACAATTACAACATTTTAAAAGTTTAACTAAATTTACTAGACATTCAGAATTGCGGGGTCTTTCCTAATATATTTGTCAAAAATCTAGTATATCTATTTGCAGTTTGCATTCCTAAAGGGGGCACTTATGTTGTTTATTTTGGACTTGATATAATTAAAAATTAGTTTTGTTTGACTTAGGAAATATTTAAACATTTTGTATTTTTTAAATTTAGGTACTTTTGTGTGTTAAATATTATATTCAAAATGTGATTTGAAACAGCATTATTTGGGGAAAAACTTTGTTTGAACAATAAATTTCAAAATATTTTTGACCACGTATTTATATAAGTATTTGCTAAGTTCATAAATTTATTTTATTTTGTTCTATTTTTTTTTTTCATTTCTCACATTTAGTTGTTCATCGCAAAGCAATTTTTATTCGTGAGATGAAGGATAACATTAATAAACGTGTATACATTCGCTGTAAAAATTATTATTTAATTAAGAAAATGTGAGATTATATCGTGAATAATCATTCTTTTTTTCCTTATGTCCGACCAGACGATGTACACACATCTTTAACTGAATTTGTATTAATGAAAGCTATTATTTTTAACTAAATAAATATTCATGTGAATAACTCTGAATTTTTGGTTACATTTCAAGAATCAACTAAAATATTTTGAAGAAAATTGATAATTAAAATAAACAGCAAGTCTAATTATTATTGATCCTTAAGCATCATTTACACGAGTTTCGCTTTATAGAAAATATCACACTAATAACAGATAAATATACAAATTTATAAACGAGATAATTATTCTTAAAATTGGTACCCGGATTGTACATTTACATAAAAATACATATAATAACTTTTACTATTTTGTATATTTAATATTTTTTAATATTTGATATGTATTTTTTTTCAATCTATGTACATACATTTATAAAGAAAGTATGGTTTTCTTTTCATATTGCTCTAAAAATATCTAATTTATAAATTGCAAACCTGGGATTTGTATCTCAAACAATTTGCGTGTTTGTTATTAATAGAGTTCAATAACATGCTTCTTCTGTTATAGTTTTTGAATATTATTGCTTAGTTGTTTAGTTGTGCCTATAAAAAAAGAATTTTTAATTTGTTAAAACATTTTTAATATTAAATTTTTAATATTTAAAGTTGAAATAATGTGTTATGATTTTTATTATTTAGTTTTGTTATTGAACAAAACTTTCATTTACATTATAATTTGTTTTAAAACTCAAAAATAAAAAATGCTCCTAACTTGACCAAATATTTGTTTGAATAAAAATGGTTTTGTAATCAATATACGTCTTAGGAAGTTCAAATATGTTTTAAGAAATTTTCTATTAAAAGATGTCTAGTACGATTATTATTATTATTAGATTACTAAAAAATTTACTTCATTACGAAAATTTTCATTGAATGCATTACAATATACTAAAAAAAACATCATAGTGCTATTAAATTAATTAATGAAAAATTGTTTTGAAACTGTATATTTTTGTTAAGTATTTTGGTAAATAAAATTTACTAAAAACTCATCCTTAAAGTGTTTAAAATTTTTTATTTTTATATTATACCAATACCTTAAGTCGTACCAATAAACTACTTACGTTTCTAGATATTTAATATGTTTTATAATAAATTATCGTTTAATTTTCAGATAATTGAATCATTTATGTTGCACCTACATTTAAAGCAAAAAAAAAAATCACTTTTTGTTTTTTAAATTTTTGGAGTTGGTTTTTTTCGTTTTATTTTTTTTTATTTTTTTTTAAATATACAATTATTAAGTTTTAATTGTGGTGTCTTGTGCCTTTTTCTTATTTTTTTTGTTTATTTATTTTATTTTCGCATGAATTATCATTGATTTCATATTGAAAAAAAAAGTTATGAAAAAAAAAAATTAAAAAAAGAATGAATTATTAACTGAAATTAAGATGACAATTTTAAATTCAAATAATTAACATGAAAATTGTTATTGAGTTAAAAAAAATCGTTAAAACAACTTCATTCAAAATCAAAACAGATGATGTTCTACCAGACGATGAGACTGGTTGGCAAGATCGTATCAGTTCTGGATTTGATCGTCTAGTTGCTTTTGCTTCAACGGAATTAGATAAAACAAGACGTTCAATTGATAATGATACAGCTCCCTCAATAAGTTGTAATACATCACCAGATTCTGGTATTGCACATAGTAGTAGCAGCGATGCCAGAACCTTTCTGTCAACATCATCATCTTCATCACATTTGGATTTACCAGTTGTACCTGGGGGTAATAGTAGTGGTGGTGTTAGTGGTGGATCATCTTCAACGTATTTGTTGTCATCGTCATCGTCAACAACAAACGTTTCTGCTGTTAAAAATGTAGGAAATGTACATGTCAATATAAATGAGAACTTATGTAGCGGTAATAGTATTTGTAGTGGGGTTAGCGCTGGTAGCAATAGCAGTACAAATAGTAATAGTAGTGCTGAGCAAATAAATAACAATAACACTATTATTCATAATAATTATAATATACATAAAGGACATAATAATAATAACATTGAAAATAGCAATAATAGCAATAACAATAATAATATCATTAATAGTAATAACAGTGTTAATCAAAATAAAAGTGATAATCAGCTTAATAGCATTATCAATAGTAATAATAATGGAGCTAATATTTATAATAACAATAATAATAGTAATAATATTAATATTGGGAATAATAACAATAGCAATATTAATAATAATAATAATAGCAGTAATAGCAATAATAAAAGTAACGTTAATATATCAACATCAGCAACCTCAAGTTCAATAAATTTAAATCAACATCGTTTGAATAATTATCATGGCAATTATTTAGATGTGAATTCGTGTAGTAAAGTAATTAGTAATAATATTATCACGAACAGTAATAATAATATTAATGAAAATAGCAGCAGAAATAATAATAATAATAATAATAATAATAATGAAAATAACAATTGTAATAATAATGATAATAATGGTAGAAAATTATTCGATCACACTCCTTCTATAATTAAAACTGTTTCAAATATTGATCGAGAAAGCCCTTCTCTATCTGAAGGTTATTTACCAAGAACACCAAGTCCATCAGCATCATTAGCATCATCTGTCTCCTTACTACCAACAAATTCATCTTCCATACTGAGTACTTCTACCGTAGGAAATCCTGGTTATGGACAAGTAAATTTGAAAATACCTTTGAAATATCAACGTCAATCTAGGATTCCGTCAGAAAAACATTATAAAAAGAAATTTCGGGAAAGAACATGGGAATATGATTATGATGATATTTATGAACCAGATGTCAATCCAAGTCAGCCTTCAATACCTCATGCATCATCAACGTGTAGTAGTGATAATTCCATGAATTCAGAGTTGATACCGCAATCTCAATACCATAATAATGTGAAGACATATTCAAGTGAAGAAAGAACAAATGCTGTGAGCAGCTATGTTAATAATGATACAACATTAATGCCACATAAAGCTTCTAAATTTAGACCAAAGGGTAAAGATTGGGGTTGGTCCAATGAGAAATCTAAAACGAATACTGAAGATTCTGTAGTTATGTAAAAAAAAATTGTAAGACATAAAAAATTTATTTCTCTTATTTTTTCACTTCTTGTTATGTTCCTTTATTCACTTAATTCAAATGCAAACAAAGAATACATTGTTAGGTTTCGTTATATTTTTAGTTAGACTTATATACATATATGTAAAAAGAAATACTGAATTGTTTTACTATTTTTTATTTTATAATATGATTAGCTTATTTTTATTTTGTTATAGTTTTTTCATTATTTTAAACAAAAAAGGTATCGTTATAAAGAAGATAAAATAGTTTTGATTTAAAAATTGTAAAAAAAATCATTAGTTTTATTTTCTTTTCTTTTAATAAATTTAAAAAGAAGGAAAAATAAATTCAATTGCAGAATGTATTTTTAATTTCAAATGTGATTAACAATTTGCTTAAAGGCAAAGAGAAAAATTATTAATGATAATTTCCTAAATGACGATGCCTTTATTAAATTATAAAAAAAATTGTAGGAAAACTTTTCTCATTTACCGAAACTATAAGATAAATTATAATGAAATAATCAGTATAAAGAAATTTAAAAGTAAAATTTTAATTATAAAACACAGAAATAATAAACAACAATAACTTTTAAGAATTCATATATTAGGAAATCTAGTAATAGGGACCAATGAGAGTACAAATAAAGCTACTTTTTCTTTTTTTTTTTAAATTATTATGTAATAACTTTATATATTGAAAATTGATAACAGGAATATAGATTAAATAAAAAAATAAAAAAGAAAAATTTTAAATAAGGAATTTAAAAAAAATTAAATGTATGTAGCATGCAAAAAAGGCGATTAAGAAAAAGTTTTCCTAGAATACACTTTTTAATAAAGATAAGAATCACTCAGATAATTTTTTTTGTTTTTTCGGAGTACGAATCTAACAATACAAGCTAAAAAAATTAGTACTAAATTCAATTTTGCAATTAAATTAAATTTTAATTGATTTAGCATTTTTTTGCAAAAAGTGACGTAGTTATTATTTCTTACAAGCACTCTAATAACAATAACATTTAATTCTCATACTCACTTTTTATATTTTATTATATGTGATCTTTGTGCAAAATATAGAATTTAATTTTTATAATACAGAGAGGAGTCGACCTTGTGTCTTTTTCTTATATAGATTTGGTTAACGTAAAATTAAATTTCGTCATTTTCTCTTATTGTAGCTCATTGGCTTAAAAATGATTATAGCATGATATGAAAAATATCTTTTTAGATGGAAACATTTATATTTTTTGTTAATTAGTGTATAAATATACTTTTTATATTATGTTCCAAATCTAATATGTAATTTTATTTTTTATTACAATTAGGAATGAATTGTAATAAACGCAGTTGACATGAAAATTAAATATTAAATTTTGCGTTTCTTTTTGTGTGTTCTATTAAATTGCTTAGATTCGTACTAAATGTTATTTTTTTTTTTTTTTCATTTTTAAATTCATATTTTTTATGTTGATTATAAATTCAATTTTTTTTAAACTTTTCTCTTTTGTAATAAGAAATATACATAATTTGTTTTTTTATTATTTTCTCGTTATACATCCGAAGTTTTTCATTAAGTTTTTTATTTTTTTTTTTCTTTAAATAATTAACATGACTTTTAGTTAGTATGTACAACTATTTTATTTCATTTGTTTGAATCTTAATTTTTTTATAATCAAATTAGGCAATTTGTAATATAAAAATTTGTTTTTTTTTAATGACCCTTACCTTTTGAGAGTAAGAGTATTTCAAAACTATGATTTTTTATGTTTTTATATATATTTTATTCAAAAATTGTACTTCAAAAAAAGAAGAAAAAAAAAGAAATTAGAACTAAATTCTAAAACGAAAAATTTATCGATTTATAATAATTAAATATATTTTATGTAGTTGAAATTTACTTAAAATATGGCGTTGAGGTTTGTTAAAAGAAGGAAAACAATTATTTATATATGTATAAATGTATATATGATGTGTATATTTAAATATATAATTATATAAATTACACAAATAAACATTTTAAATTAAAAATATCATTTATATAATATATACATATATGTTTGTATTTAAAATAAAATTAGATAGTAGTTGTAAGTAAGCATCAATAATTTTTGTAAAAATAGAAAAATAAATTAAATAATAATTTTAATATATCAACATGTAATTATAAAAGTGAGATTAAGTGAAAATTATTTATTAAAAAAAAAGTAAGTATTTTTAAAATTGGCATAAAAGTTATAATTGTTTGCTTTATTAAATAATTAAATAAAAAATTGACGGAAAAAAAGTTAATATTTATATGTAATAAAAAATTTTATTCAAAATTAACATCAATTTATTGCTTATTCAGTTGAAAAGTTTTTCTTTTTCCTTATAAAATAATTGTAACTAAAACATGTTAAAATAGATTTGTTTATTAAATTAAAATGAATTATAATATTATGTAAAACTTTGATACAATATTAACTAGTGTGAAAGATGAACCTCCTTCCTACAAAACATTTAACGATCCTATTAATTTTTTCATTCCGAGCTTTTATTGAAAATTCGTAATTTTTTTTAAACTATTGTAATTAGGGAAAATATAACATCTTTATTTAAATTTTTACGTACTATTTATCTTCATATATCAAAGTAAAATTTTCTTTTGAAATTCTAATTTTTTTGCACTTTTTGCGAAATTTAAAGTTTACGTAATATTTTTTAATGAAATTAAAAATTAAATTACGTAATATTTTTTAACGAAATTCTTTGAAATCGCTAGAATTAGTCAAATTTTTTTACATTTTAACTTAAAAAACATTCGCAAATTTTATAAATTTTAATATTTTACATAAAATTGAAGATTACTTCAATATATCATGTTATTGATCTCAAAATATATAAAAAATGGGTAACATTTTCAACGATTTTATTTAAATATTTACTCTTGTTTGAGAAATTTAATTTTAACTATAATTGATTTCTTCATTAGCATTTAATTATTGTTTTTGTTAGAAAATGTATTAAAAATGATTAAATAAACGATTTGAATTAAGTATTTAATGTATTTTTTTAAGGATTTTTCTTTTTATATAGAGAAAAATTCATATAATTTTATATAATGGAAAATTATTTTATAAAATTACAAATTTTGTTTAAATTGCAATAATTGACAAATTTTTGACAAAGTTTAAACATTAAATTTTCGATAATTTCTTCACTGATTTCTTGAATATAGACCCAAAGTTTCCTATGTATATTTTTAAAGTTGTTTAACTTAATAAGAAAATCTTTTAATGAAGTTTTAAAATTTTTTTATTTTTCTGTGTATTAAGTAAATGTGAGGCGTTAACAGAAAAAAAGGAGTTTAAAAAGTTTAACAAAAATTTCAAATTCAAATAAGCAATTCAGGAATATATCTGTTTTAATAATTTTTTGGAAGGAATTAGAACAATGTTCGAAAAATGCACTCTTAAAATATATTACATAAAAATATTAATTTTGCGAGGAAATAAAATTTTTTATTAGAAATTCTTTTCACTCATATAATATACATACATATTTTTTTCTTTTTCTGGTATTAGAAAAAAATCTCAATTTTTAATATATTTACTTAAAAAAAGCAATTTGTAGCAAAAAAAAAATTAAGTCCTATAAAACATTTAATTGCATGTTAACCAAAAGTTGAATTATATTAAGATTATACAATTTATAAAAATAATATAGACATTGATAATCAATGTGTAAGTAATCATAATAGAATTATGCTATTGATCCTTCTTGAGTAGTATAAACATTAAAATTTTTCAATTTTCACACTATTTGTTTAATTCTTTTTCATTTTATAAATTATTAGCGTAAAACATAAATTTGTATGAATTAAATGTCACAAATTGAAAATTTTATTTATATGTATTAAAAATTAATTTTTTATTAAAAAGTAAAATAATTATTAAAAATTATTAATATAAAGTTAAAAAAAAATTAAAAGCTAGTGTTGTAGTAAATATTAATTAATGACGTAAGAACAAAATTATAGAAAAATTACGATAAAAGAATAAGCAACAAAAAAAAAATTGAATAATTGCTGGAAAGAAAAATATGAAAACAGTAAATAAACAATTTATAAACATTTTCTACTAATGTTTTTAAAACTAAAAAAAAATAATATTAAAGAATTTTTATTAAAATTATAAAATTAAAAACAATAAAAAAAACATGTTATATAATGTGCACATCCTCGCAAATGCATGCAATTTATATGGATGTTGTTTAAAAAAAAATAATAATTTGTATATATTTATAACAAAAAAAATTAAAACATTTATACAAAGAATTCTTAAAGCATACAAAAGCAAAATTTTACTATATTAATTAATAATTAAAATAGTGTTGAAAATATCAGAATTAAAACAAAAAAAAAATAAGATCACACAAAAATTACGTTAAACTAAAATTATATTTATAAGATACTACACATCTACAACAATACTTACATAAATGAATACATATTTTTATGTATATATAATATGTTTGCATTAACATTAATCTAAATATTAAATTACAGTATAAATATAATCATTTATAAAATAATAAAACAAGAAAAAAACAATTAATAAAACGCTATTAATTAAATTTATTGAATACAATATAATTGGATTAAAAATAAATTATTTATTTAATTACTAATTAATTTCATTGTATTATGTAATTAAAAATTATATATTATATTCATATAGTTAAATAAATTGACAAAAATTAAAAATTATCATCTTAAACATGTTATTTCATTTAAATGATTATATTATGATTATATTTTTGGCTTCAGAAATTTTTAAAAAAATATGCAAATTCACTCAAAAGGGACGCAAAGGGTGGCTCCTTTGAGAAGTCCGATGATCTTCGAGCTACTAGCTTTGTTTATAGTGCCATTAAAAAGTTTTTATTGCTGCAAAAAATTTGACAAAAATAAACCAATAGTTTTTCTGGAAAGTTTATATACATACATATGTTGGAGTTTCAATAAATATCTTAAAGTTAAATATGTATTTTATTAAAATAAAGTTTCGTAAAACTATTTTTATCAACCATTGGTAATAATTCAGAATTAGAGCACTACAAATTAATAGAAACGAAAATAACGGTATACAATTGCCATTTACTTTTTGATTAAAAATCTAATCCCTGGACTAATGATATATACATATGTATATCTATCAGGCAACAAAGCTGAAGTTATTTTCCGAAATATTGCAATCTGAAAACGTTATCAATTCTTAATGTTTTATGCATGGATGTACAATGAAATATGAATAGCTAGTCTTATTGTTTTTCTTAAAAACAAAATGAAGCTAAAATATAGAGTCACAGTGTCCTTGACAGTTAAAAATGTTTTTCGTATTGCCATCTCTAAAAATTATTAAAATTTTGGGAAAAAAATTTATTTATGTACTTCATTTTTCATTGTACTTTTGCCACCGAAAATTATGTTTTTATTTAAAAACAATTATATTTAAAAAAACGCCGCGAGATTAGAAAATCCATTAGAAAAAACAGAGAATTCTGATTTGAAAGTGAATAAAAAGTGAGTAAAAAGGCAAAATACACGATCAGGTTGTACATACATATTTCAAGAGGAGGACAAAAATGGTCGTTTTTACCAATAGTCTGCAAATGATTTCATTTCAACCGATTATCTTTTACCCTGTTGGCATATTGCACATTATCCGCATTTTTCGTAATAACTTATTCTCACGAAACTTTTTGAGTAAAATATACAGACAGACGATCAGGCCCGTAACGTCATTTGGGGGGTAAAATTAAGTAAAAAAAATATATTCCTTTGAAAAAGAAATTTGAAATTTATAATGTATTCAGAATGTATTCAGAACGTAAGGCGAACATTCAATTTCATTCGATTTAGCAAATTCGTGAATATGTACAAAAAAATTTGCTGAAGCAAATTTTTTGCCCCGATTCCATTCGAGATGTTTTCGAACACTCTTCAATTTAACAGATTTAAAAAAATTTTGATTTAATTGGGTTGAATTTGTTTTTACACACACTTTATACACACTTATTTAATTTCAAATAAATTTCGAATGTTCGAATGTATAAAAAATATAAATTCCAAATAAATATTCAAAATATGATTTAAAGTATCCAAAAAATTTTGTAACTTTCTTTTTTTAAATTATATATATTTATTTGCTTTAAAGTAAATGTGAATTATTATTTGTTTTAAAATAATTATGTATGCCTGAAATTTTTTAAGTAAATAACAAGTCTGCCCAAATTCGAGTATAAATTTTTGAGTAATTTTTCACATGGTATATTTTTCTGTAAAAAAATTATATGAGTAGCTCACATATTTCTCTCAATTTTATGTTGTTATATTTCTATCTTGAACAGATAATCATTATAATAAATTACCTATCTTGGACACGATTAACATATTTTTAGTACATAACAAATAAACTTTCTGTTGACATTTACCCTTTGACAGATAAATATTCAAAATCTGCGGTTTCAATGTGCAGTCAATATTAAGTTGAATACATAATTTTATATATACGGCAACTCCTGAAAATTTTACTTTGTTTTCGATAAAAGAAAGCGGCAGTTTTTTAATATTCAACTTTCATATTATACAGACATCTTTGTTTTCTATCATATGACTCTTTTTGTACTAGAGTAAATGTCAAATACAGGTTGACGTGAATGTTAAATAGTAATAGTACACAATAGGAAAATACATAATCCCAGTTCGTGGAAGTATTGACCATTTAACAAAAAGAAAATTTAGAAGACGTTTTTATCAAAAAGTGGAAAAATTGTGCTTTATACAAATAACATATTAATTAACAAATATTCAATTGCTGTGATAATACTATTAATATCAAAGAATGCCTCCTAAAGAAAGAAATATAGCCATGATGGGGTATCGATCTGTTGGTGAGTACTATCAAAAGTTCACATTGATTTATCATTATGCATGCTGGAAAAATTAAAGAATGAAGAACTTAAAGCTAATATTACTATTTCAAATATAATACAATATTTTAAACTTCAATTCCAATTTTTTTTTTGAAACAAGGTAAATCATCATTGAGTATACAGTTTGTTGAAGGGCAATTCGTAGATTCTTACGATCCAACAATTGAAAATAGTAAGTAAGATTCCATTAAATAAATTAAATATTTCATAAATTTAAACAAAAATTAACTTCCAATCGTCAAGTACCAAAAATTATTGCTTGGGCTTACCTAAAACTCAATTTTGATATTTCGATTAATAAAAAAATTAAAATATTGCAAAGTTTATTTTTTTTTTGCTGTTTCTATATTTTTTAAAGCTGTTTAACTCAGGATACTTACCTATATGAGACTAAACTTTATTTTACGCAATTCTTTGTATGTATTTTAATGCGCAAAATATTTGTTCGTTTTGTGAGATCATTTGTATCACTTAAATTTTTTTTAAATAACAATTAGAAATTTTTCTGCTTTAAACATTATTCTTTCGTTATCTTTCAATGTGAGAATTTTCGAATAATCTCTAAAGTGATTAAACACCCGAGCAAAGTTAATATATAATAAAATAAAACAAACCTATCAATAGTAATTACAAGTTGGAAAAATTAACTGACCCCGTGGAATGTTGTTATTACGTTTTATCTATAGACACAGATTAAGGAAAACAAGAAAATTTTTTTACTGACAAGTCTTGTTATTATTCTAATATATTTTTTTGGAGTTTTGTAAGACAATATATGTATAATCGCAATTAAATTAAATTTATTATTTAACCATTTGATTTTTTTAGCGTTCACAAAAGTAACTCGCGTTAATTCACAAGACTATGAAGTTAAACTCGTTGATACTGCTGGTCAGGATGAATATAGTATATTCCCAGCACAATACAGTATGGACTTCCATGGCTATGTATTGGTTTATTCCATAACAAGTCAAAAATCTTTTGAAGTTATTCAAATCATTTATCAAAAACTTCTAGATGTTATGGGAAAATCAAAGTAAATTATTTTCTTTCGTAAAATTAGTATAAATATTCAATACTGCCTAAATACATTACATTTCACCTATATAATTAAATTTTAGTGTGCCAGTAGTTTTAGTAGGAAATAAAACTGATTTACATCAAGAACGTGCCGTTTCAACAGAAGAGGGTAGAAAATTGGCCGAATCCTGGAAAGCCGTTTTTTTGGAAACATCTGCTAAACAGAATGAAGTAAGCTATACATTTCTTAAAAATACAATAAATAAAGCTACTTACGTTTTCAATCATTATTTATATATTTTAGTCTGTTGCTGATATATTTCACAGCCTCTTAATTTTAATTGAAAAGGAAAATGGTAATTCCCAAGAGAAAAGCAGTTGTATAATTTCATGAAACAACTCTTTGTATAACTTTTTTTACAAATATTTTTTTTTTATGTTTAACAAATAACATTTACTTAGATAAGTACAAAATTGAACACACAATGTTTACAGGAAGATTTAATAAACAATAAATTCATTGTAAAAAATGAAAAAAAAATTTCTGCGTGCAAATTTCGTACATATCTTTGTAAAATTATTTTTTTGAAATTAATTAAAATGATTTCTAAGATGGTTACTTAAAAGAATATGTATATTACACTTTATTTTTGCTTTATTTCGTTTTAATAAAATTTTGAAATAATTTTTAAAATTTAATTTTTTTATTTTGATAAAAAAATTTTGAAACGCAATAAGAATAAATATAGTGGAAAATTAAATTTTAACAATCAATGTATATGTACGTATGCAGAACGTATTTGTATGTTTTTAGTAAAATATAGTTATAATTTGGAAAGAAATATTTTCAATTTTAATTTAAATCAATCTAATAACAAGAAATTTATGTTAAAAATTGTAGTTTTATTTCGAAGTGTTTAAAAATTGCAAATAAATATCTGGGTTGGATTATGGGCTCAGTTTTTTAGCAATTTTAAATTAATATCTATCATATACTATAGAAGATATTTTTATTTTAAAAATTTTAAAGCTATTTAAGATGTATGGTATAAACTTATGTTGTTCATTAAAACAGGTTGCTCTTAAGAACTGAAAGTCTTATAATTGGTGTTCTTATGGTTAGAGCTGCAATGCTTTTAAAGCGTCATGAACAAATTAAACGTAGAGCTTTTAAAGATCTGCAGTATTAATCTTAAGAACTGTATTTTCAAAAACACCCAATATGATACATATTTGTAATTTCCTGAATTTCAGAACTACGAACGAAATTCATAACATGGCTGACTATGTACGTTTATGAGTCATTTTTATATGTATATTTTCTAAAATTTGATTGGATTTTGTTGAATTTACTGAAATTTATAATGTGTAAAAAAGTTTAATTTGTATAAATGCACGCTTTCAAAAATATGTATTTGGCAAGCCTAGAAAATGTAAAAAGCTCATATCCACAATGTTTATGTACAAATGTATATAATATGTATGTTAACATGTATTTTGTTCATAACGAGTTGTAGTAAAATGGCAACAGATGTCTCCTTTTCTATTTCAATTGCATCTTAAATATCTAAATGCATGTAAATAAATGTTCATGGCATTTGTTTATTCACACTACAGAAAACGCAAACCGTTGATATGGAAACGAAATAACGAAGAACACTTTTCTGAAATATTATTTATGGTGGTAGTTTTGCTGAAAACGTATAAAAATATCGATATTTAAAATAGGCAATCCCAAATGGAAGAAGTTGCTTCCTGTTTTCATATATTTGTTACTGGTCAAATTGAATATGGTAAGATTATTTTAGAATAATTAATTTAAATATTTTTGAATTATATTTGAATAAATTGTGATTTAAATCTAATTATTTTTCAATAATTTTTGGATTTTCTTGTAGCTGCATTTCCTATGGGACCTAATGCGTCGGAAGTGTTTTGTCGTTTTGAAATATTTGCAGGAAAAGATTGGGAACATGTTAGTGGATTAAAAAATGGTATTTCACAAAGGTATGAAGAAAATAAATGCATCTGTATAAAAAAAATATAAACTTACCTTTTTTGTCTTTTTTATCAGCTCAGTTGCCAAAAGGGGTTGTAAAGAGATAACTTTAAATATGCCGATAGAATTTGTTTATAAATCTACAAACCCATATGGATGTATGAATGTATTTTAATTGAATATTTCGTTTTCTTTTTTAAATACTTTTTGTTATTATTGATAGACCATTATAAGAAATCATAGTTGAAATATTTTTAGGGCCAAAATTAGTTTTTTGTGTTTATGGGAAAAATTTTTGGGGAGCTGAAACATCATTGGGTTATGCTCTCATTCATGTTCCAATATTTGGTTATAAAAGAAAAATAAAAACGCCAATTTTAATACCAAGATGCTCAAATTTACTTGCGGAATTAAGCACTTGGATAACTGGCAAGAATCCTGAATTGAAAAATCCGGAGGTAATTGCAGAAGGAATTAAAACGAAAGGTGACATTCAATGCTTTACTATGTGTATGATTGTTAAGAAATGTTTTTTTTTTTCAAGTTTTTATTAAAATTTACTCATTTAAGAATAAGTACATATATACGCTAAATGCCAAGATTTAGATTAATAAAAGCTAAAAATTTTGCCAAACATAATTCTTTGTTGTTTGGTTTGTGGAGATTTAAATCAAAATCGCTTTAGATTTCCAAATACAAACATACATAGCACATTCAGTTCATTAAATCGAATATTTTTATTTAACTTTAACCTAATTTATTAAATGTTCAAATATTTTTTTAAGGTCTTCAAGTTGAATCTTACGGAGAATTAGTTCTGTCTCTACAAACGATGTCCCGTGGTTCAAATAGAATGGGTTATGATTCAGGGAAAATTCAGTAAAACAAAGGTGTAAAGGAAAACATAATAAAATAATAAGACGAAATTAAATCAAATTTTATATTATTTAATTATTAATAAATTTGTCTTCCGTCATTAACTTTGATTTATTAGAATGTAATTATGTTCCGTTTTAAATTTAAAAGATTCTTCTTTTTTTACGTCTTTATAACAATCAAGAATATAATATGCATACATTAAGCACTATTAAATTATTTGAAGATAGTTTTTTATTTATACAAACATGGTACTTGCTATGAAATAAAAAAAATTAACAAAAATTTAGTAGGACAAGGTTTTAAATTTTTGTTTTAAATACAAAAATATACAATATTTGATAATACTGAAATGCTAAAATTAAAAATATTTACATACTTTTGGATTCGTTAAGTTACCAATTTTACTTTTAATTTTTAATCGGGATTTTCGAAAATTCAGTTCTAATAAAGTTAAGAAAACTACAAAATTTTCAAAGGTAGGTAGGGTTAAAAATATTTTTACTACAAAAAAAGCACGTTCGAAAATCGTAGCTCGCTTAAAGTTCTAAAACATTTTAAAATAATAAAATAACTAAAAACATTTTTACTTGGAAAATAATCACATAGAAAAATCTGGAAAAGTAAATTAGTTAGTTCCTGTAGATCTGTAATAATGCAAAAAAAAAAAAAGAGTTTAAAGATATAAGTTAGAGCTTTAAGTGCTTATCTGAATAATTATCGAAAATTCCCGATATTAAAAATAAGCTCTAATAATTTGAAAATAATTAATTTAGATTATAAAATTTTTTGTGGAGACTAGATTTAAATCATATATGTATGTATGTATTTACATATTAAAGTTAACATTTCTAATATAAAAAACATAAAAATTTAGAATTCAGCTTTTAAGTATACATTAATACTACTATAATATAGACTAAAAACAATCATTTGTAAACATTTTTTAATTATTTTAATGGAAATTTTATTTTGCCTAAAATATTAACTAACAGCATTTATTCATTTACTTTATTAAATTGAACTTTGTACAAATTTTTAAAATTCGAATTTAAATTTATTTTCTTAAATTTAATAATTTAGAAATTTAATGAATTTAATTTTTACTTTGAGTATTCACTTTTGTTTTATAAGTTTAAATAAATTATACACCTATACTTTGTGTATATTTAATAATACAATTTTTTTTCTTAATATTTGAAAATTATAATTTTAACAAGTATTATTTAACATATTTTAAAATAATTTATTTCTTTGGTTTCATTTAAAAGTTTCTATCAAATTTTGTTTTAATATATGTACTTGTTTCTATTTACAAAAGTTTATATTTTTTGTATTTATTGAATTAATTTTTTTTTTAATATAAAATTTCCTCAATCATTGCGATAATCTTGATTTGATTTTATGATATTCTGAATAAAATTTATTTCTAGTAATTTCAAATATTTTCCTTGTTGAACGAAATTTATTTTTAATATAAATCTGAAGCAGTTTATTGTTTCTTTTTCAATAATTCAACTCTAACTTAAGTCATAATATGGAGCATGTTCGATAAATCTAAAATGCAAAATCGTCAAAATATGAAATTATAAATAGATATTAAAGATTTACCCGAGTATGTTCTAAATTTGCAAAAAAAAAAAATATTCAGTTTTAACAGATTTGTAAGCATGCGGGAAAGAACTTTTAAAATTTAATTTAGAACTTTCAGTGCATGTCTGAATTATTTCATATTCCCATGTTACGTGGAATATATACGTATAGTAAAAAAAAGTAGCATCTGTCATTTTATGTATAGTATAGAAATGTTTTTTCTCAGTGTTTAAGGTTCTGGAACCATTTTTATGAACTATAGAGTATGTTGCGTTTTAAAAAAAATCTAAATATAATATGGAGTATCTTTTCTCTAAAATATGCAAGCCAGCATTTTTTAAAAGTGCTAGCATTTATATTAAAATAGTAGTGTTAATGAAAACGTTATCAGTTAAAGTAAACTAACAGTAAATAAATATGTTTTATTTAATATTTTTCTTAAGGTAAGTTATTTTAAATGCATATATTTTGTAAGTCTTAAAAATACTATACAGCATGCTTACACCACATATTTGTATGAGAATTCAATTACGGGTTGTCATTTCAAAAATTTCTTTGCACTTAGTTTTGCTTTTAAACCAGCTTTTTACTATTTTATTTTTATTAAGATTTTTGTTTTTAAGTTTCAATTAAATCTCATTTCGAAAATATGCAAATCCAATTTTGTTTTAATGTTATAAGAATCATTTTAAGACTTTTCTCATTATAACTTAAAAGTACATCCACGGATCGTTTATACTCAAAATCTACATAATTTACGCTCTTAATAATTTGGTTGTATTTAAAAATATATAATAAATATTTTGTTGTCAAAATTTAATGTAAATGATGAGTGTTTGTATTATTTAATATTGTTTGCAAAAATGTACATGAAATGGGCCTCTGTTCCGTTGGTTCAAAAGTAATGTAAATCCACATTAAAAAATTATTATAAGTTAAAGTTTTTTAGCTTACTTTAGGGTATAAAATTTCTTCAAGTATATTTTTTTATTAAGTATTGTATTAATGTTCTTTTTTTTTTATTAATTCAAACTGAAACAAAAAAATATGAATTAAAACCAAAGATTTAAAATATTTTTGCAAACATTTATTGAACGGAGCTATTTATAAAGCAATTACGAAATAAATTAATATAAAACTAAATTGTTTAATTTATTTTAAAATACAGTTTTAATTTCAGTTCAAAAGTTGATTTCATTAAAATATCCAAATAAAAAAATATTATACGTAAATTTCTTAAAAAAGTTTTTAATGAATTATTATTCGTAATGGTAATTTTTTAAGATGATTTTTTCTTCACAATAATGAGTTTTATTTAATTTTTTTTATACCTAAGATTAAAAACTATTTTAAAATATTATATAATATTTAAGTATATATATGATGTATTTTAATAATTATACGAAAAAAAAAATTCATTCCTATGTATTAATTTTTGCTAGTAATGGTTGTTTAGCACTCTTGCTAACACTATCATCATTCGGATTACAAATTATTTTTAAATTTTTAATATTATTTGTTTTAACAATATTATTAAAATTAACACTATTATTGCAATTACTATTATTACAATAATTTTTATTTAGTAAATTACATTCACTACAATTATTATCATTTGTAACCATTAGATTATTACTACTGCAACTACTACTGTTATTACTATTAAATGATGTTGGATGATCAACCGCAATACCTAATTCAACTTGTTGATTATTATCATCGTCATTATCATTGTTGGGACCACTTGTTTGCGAGTTTTGTCTAGAAAAATTTTTCGATTGTTGATTTTGTTGTTGTTGCTGTTGTTGATGATGTGGTAGTTCATGTGTTGATGATAGTTGCTGACGTTGTTGCTGTTGATTTGGACAACTTGTAATATTATTTGATAATTTGTTATTATCACTAATGCATTCGTTACAATCAGCATTACTATTTCTTAAATTAGGTGTTGTTTTATTTAAAATATTTAAACTTAAATCATTAAAATATTTTTCATCCTCATTTTGATTTATATTATCAATATTATTATCAATTTTATTTCTAATTTCACTGGATATGAATTCATTAGGATTATTAACAAATACATTTGAAGTTGATGAATTATCAGTCTTAATTTTACCATTCATTTTCAATGGTGAATTTAAATTGTCAGCAGCATCAAAATTGATTGAATTTGTGATAGCTAACGTTGTTCCTGTAGGTGTTGATGCTGGGTTTGTTATTGAAAAATTTGGATCACTATTCATTGAATGACTATTACTTAAATCAAAATTATGTTTTAGGTTATTTGAATTTAAAACAATATTTTTTTGTGAACCCCCTAATAAACTTTGAGCACTACGTCGATTATGATTTTGTTTTAAAAAATTTCTGGCATCAGTTATCATTGGTAGTTTTTCACCTTCTAACCAATATGTTCTCATTTCACCTTTACCTTTCATTGGTACTAAGCCGCGTTCTTTCATTATAAATGAACCAAATTGATCTAACAGTGTTTTTGTACTATGACTTATATGAATTTTTAAAGCTTCACCATTTGATTCCATTCTTGATGCTGTATTAACGGTATCACCAAATAAACAATATCGTGGCATTTTCAAACCAACAACTCCGGCAACACACGGCCCTGAATGTAAACCAATTCGTAATTTCAATTGATCATTTGGTCTATGATGAATTTTAAAACGATGTACTGAATCTAATAAAGCTAGTGCTAGTCGGGCGATTTCTCTGACATGTTCGGTACCATTACGTATTGGTAAACCAGATACAACCATATAAGCATCACCAATTGTTTCAACTTTATATACATCAAAATTATTTACAATTGAATCAAATTCCGTATACAAATCATTTAAGAATTGCACAACTTGCATTGGTGTACTTTCAGCCGATATAGCTGTAAAACCAACAATATCACTAAAATATATAGTGACTAGATCAAATGTTTCAGCAAGAACTGGTTGTCCACGTATTAACTGTGCTGCAACACTCTTTGGCAATAATTGATATAAAACTTCTTCACATTTACGTTTCTCTTCTAAATAATCACGTGTTCTTTCTTGTACCAATCCTTCTAAATTGTTGGCATATCTTTCCATACGCTTCATTAAATTATCTACAATGTTACCAGTTTCATTTTCTCTGTAAAATTTGTAGAAAAAGAAAAAATAACAATTGTAAAAAAAATAAAATAAAGAATAAAAATAAATTTTAAATTAAAATTTAATTAAAAAGAAAAAACAATTTAAAAAAAAAATTAATTTTCAAAACTAAACACTTGAAGAAAGAAGGAAACATAAAATTAAGCGAATTAAGAAAGATCAAACGAAGAATTTGTAGAAAGAAAAATTAAAAAGTTTAAATTTTTTTTTCCGAAATTTTTTTTTTTAGATAATTTTAAAGAATATTAGAAATAAAAAAATCAAATTTTTATTTATACTTGTTAATTCTTCGGATAGTAGATTTTAGGCTTCCGAAATCTGGACGATCAAATGGATCTTCTGCCCAACATTTTACCATTATTTGATCAATATCGTCATACGTATTTTCACTTTCATCAATGTATGGTCTAAATGGTTGTGACGGTTGTTTAGCTGAAGAAGGTCCCAATGTCACCAATTCGATAATTTCTGTGTGAGAAAAAAAGAAAATAAAAAAAATTTTTTATATGAAGATTGTTTTAAAGTTCATATTATCATTTCAAGAAGACCAGCTAACCGTTTGTAAGGTTTCTTAGAAACTTGGAAATTAGTAAATATAAAACTTTTAAAATTGAATATGTACGTTACTTTTAAATTTTTACATTTTTATGAATGGTATTTTTATAATTTAAATTTCAATATTCAAAGTCAAATTAAATTTATAAAAAAGCAGAATCAAACAAATGGAAAGAAAAATATGTCAGCAGAAAATGGTAAAAAAATTTTTATTCAAAAATGTGCTCAATGTCGCACAGTTGAAAAAGATGGTAAAAATAAAGTTGGACCAAATTTAAGTGGTATTCTTGGAATAAAAACTGGTATGACAACTGGTTTTGCATACTCAGATGCAAATAAATCAAAAAATACTACTTGGAATGATAAGACTTTATTCGAATATTTAGAAAATCCAAAAAATATATTCCTGGAACAAAAATGGTTTTTACTGGTATTAAAAAAGCCGAAGAACGTAAAGATTTAATTGAATATTTAAAGAGAATATAAATTAAATTTAAAACTATAAAACCAAATTATTCTTTTTTTTAATTTTAAGGTTGAAGGCGTTCATATGCAAATTTTTGATGTCAATAATATTATCAATTTTTTTTTACTCTTCTGATAAAATACAATAGAGACAACTACACATAGGCCGAAACCCATTCAAAAATATTGGATACATAATAGGTTCCAATGTGATGTTACTTAATTTCCCTAAAGTTTTTTTTCAAGAAAAGTTGGTCTTTACATTTGACTTTATTAAAAGCATTTGGGTTAGAACATATTATATCATATCCATATTATACCCATATTCTTATCACATTGAGACGCAGTGGACTATCAAAAAAACCCTTCGGACTTACGCTTTCTTGTTTGTTTTATCGTTGATTAAAAAGTCGTTTATTTTAACAAAATACAACCTGAAGCAAAATCAAATATAATAAAATATAAGTTGGTTTAAATTTTATTGTTTTTTCGAAATGTAGCTCAGTTTAAAGATTTTAATTGATTTTAAAAAAAAAATTACTTTGGAAGTATGCACAAAAAATTCAAAGCCGGGTTATCGTAGCTTTAATTTAGATTATTTCTTTCTAACTTAAATAAATGGTTCGTTATTTACAAAGTGAAATAAAAGGAATCAAGCAACAAGTACAAAAATTTCCATTCTTCAATTTTTCATAGTTTTTATTATTTTTCCTTTTTATGTTTCTTTCATTAAGCGATATCCTGCAATTTAATCGTTTTAATTTAATAGATTTTTCATTTTCTAAATCACGGAGCCATTGAATACGACTTGTTGGATTCCAACCAATTTTATTTTTCCTCTCACAATTAACATTTGACTCGGCATTAATTATTTCCCAATCAGTTAATTTTTTATGTTCTTAAAATAAATTTCAATTAAATTTTCTTATTTAATTTAATTTTCTTATTTAGTTGAGAAGTAAAAATTTCATTTTATAAAATTGAATTGCAATGATTAATATACAATTTAATAATAAAACTTAGCTAAATAAATAATTAAGTTTAATTAATTGTATAATTAAAAAATTGTAATATCAAATCATTCTGGATTAAATTCTGAATTGATTTGTCTTTTTAATATTAAATTACTAAAGCATATTATTATAATTGTGGATTTTATTATTAATGGTGGGGTGAAGTTACAAAAATTTGGCAAATGCAATTTTGCATAACATTAAATTAATTAAAAAGTGTTTTATAGTTACTTGAATTTAGCTCACAAAATGAACTTGAATGTTGGACATGGAGGCGTAAATAAAATTCTTTTTCACGACGATTGTAGTGATGTTTATGATGATGACAATAGTGACGTTGAATGACCATTTTTGGTAAACCCATATAATTATTCGAAAAAATGTCATCAAACTTTCTTCTTCGGGAGTTGTTTTTCAATTTTCTTTTTAATTTAGGGGCATATATGAGTGTTCTTTCTAATTTTATATGCATTTTCCTAAAGAACTTTATAAATTTGACGCACAGATTTATTTGCCATGAGTTTTATTACAATAAAATTGTATTTTTTATCAAATAAAAAGTGAAATCGGTACAATAAATTTTAGGAATAAAATCTTTACGAATTCTCAGAAATTTCTAAGAAAGAGAAATTTCTAAGATTTTTCTTGCTCTAAATAAAAACTACATGTAATATGTAAATGAAAATTTAAAATGACATTGGGTTTCTGATTAATTTTTAATTGATTGATTTTGTATTTTTACTTATGTATTTCTTGGTTATAATCTGATTGTTGACTTTTTAATCAAAGTTAAGTATATTTTGTAAAAGCATGACGATGAGATAAAGCAGAATTTCAACAGGAAATTTAATTCGTCGCTTAAAAGCACATATAATGCTTCATAGCATATTTGAATCAATATAATAATTTTATAACTTTAGTTTAAAAGTGTAAGAAAACTATCAAAACTGATATATGTTTTATCTTTATCAATATCTTAGCATTTTTCACCATGGTCTTTTGTATAATTATAAAATATCCTTATTAGTAAATTTACCTTTTGGTGACTTATCATTTGATCCTAAATAAAATGTACCCTGTCTTGTAACAATTTCATGTACAATTATACCAAATGAATACACGTCACCTTTTTGTGTACCCTCTCTTGGTGTATTTTGCATTCTTAATAATTCAGGTGCAGTCCAAAGTAATCCTATTAAAGAAAGAAATATAAACAAATTTTTCTCCAAATACACAAACAATTTATGAATTTATTTTTAAAGTACAAATTGACTTACTCTTCCAATAAGCATAACTATTACAATTCTCTTCATCATCTTCTATACTGGCTTTTCTTAATTGATGTAAACCAAAATCACAGATTTTAAGAACAAAACGCGAATCTACTACACAATTTGAAGATTTTAAATTTCCATGAGATCTTATTTCAGAACAATGTAGAAAATGCATTCCACGTACAATATCATGCATTAAAGATAATTTAAACATCCAATCTAGTTGAATTTGTTCATTTTCCAAAATATCTTGAAGGGAACCTTTAGGACAATATTCTGTTAAAAGAAAACATTTTGGTGGATCTAAACATGCACCAAAAAATTTTACTAAATGCTCATGTTGTATATCTTTCATTCGTTTTAATTCTAACATAAGTGGACGATTTAAATTAACATTGGTTTCATTAATATATTTGATAGCAACTTTACAACCACGATAGAATGCAATTGGTATGTATAATTGACGATCACCAGGTAATGATACTTCTTCTGAATATATTGTTAGTTGACTGCCCCGTTTTGCTAAAGAATGCATTGAACCTGTTCTTGTATGGCGTTCGTTTGTTTCGCATGGCAAAACTTCATTATGATTTACTTTCCATGTCATAGAATTAATTTCAGCTTCATTTTTATAATAACGAAAACCAATGAAAGAAACTATTATTAAAACTATAACCGATATCCCAAGTACAACTGATAGTATTGCATAAATTGGTGGAGCTTAAATATTTAAAAATAAAAATATTTTTTATTTGTGTGATTTAAAGATTTTAATTATACTTACGAGCACATAAAGAACCATCGAAACCACATTTTGGTTTATCAGGTGGAGCTTCTGTTCTACCACCAGCCCAATGAATTGTTTTACCCTCAACAAATTGTAATTGATTATCAGAGAAATTCGCAACAATTTCAAAATATCCTGTTTCAGGATTCATATCTAATAGAGCATACGTTGTAACACGATCTCCATTTGAATCAATTTGGATTTTACCGGTAATGCCTTCAAATGTACGATTCCACATACGTCTTACCATATCACTGCCATTAATTGGATGATATATTGTTTCAACATTTTCAGTGACACTTTCATTCAATGCTGTTGCATATAATAGCACTGCATCATAAAATGATGTGACAAAAGTTGAAATTGATTCATCTGGTTCATAAGTTTTGTTATACTTTTTTGTTGCTATTGATTTGATCTAAATTGAACCGAGGAAAAATTTGGAAAAATATGTTAGTTTTGTATTAGTATTTATGCTTTTTACTAAAAAAACATCAATAAAAAAATTAATCCTTCCAAGTTTAAGAAAAATGTAAAATAAAACGAAAACATAGGTATCATTGCTAGGGTCTAAGTATTTACCTCCTCAGAGAACTTAGTATATTCATCGTTATCTGGTTGTTTTGGAGAAACAGTTAAAAGTGCAGAAAATGCTTTTTTCGCTCTTTCATTGTTTTCTTGAGTATCATTTGCATTAAACCAGGGTTGTGCCTTACCTTGCGGGACTCTATAAATAAAAACAAAAATTGAAAATAAAATTTGTGGGTATTGCAAAAATCATTTAAAGAACTAAGAGAAAGTTAGTACGAGTTATTTTTGTTTTAAATTTGCAATTATTTTGAGAAAACTGATGATTTTAATGAAGTATGTAGCTTCAATTGCAATGTTATCTTGACAAAAATATTATAGTATTTTTATAAAGTATATTTTAATAGTATTTCTGTCAGCCGTCGATGTTATGCATCATATTTTTAATATTGTATGTGTAGTAATATCCATACATAAATACTAATTACATATAACATATCCGGAACAAAATTGAGAGAAAATGATGACGTTTTCATTTTCTAAATGTTTAAAGTTTTTTCAAGTTTTGTAAAGTAAAATTCAGTGTTTTAAAAACTTTTAAAATCTTAGAGCTGTCAAAACATATGTATGTTTTTCTTGGTTATGTCAGAAGGTTTTTTTTTTTTATTGTCGAATAAGATTTTTTCATCAACGACAATTTTTTATTCAAATTTGTTTTTTAAATTTATTTTTTTTTTTATAAAAAATAAAATAAACCAAATGACTTTTTCTAAGTTTCATACTTTTATACGAGTAATCCAAAACCCAAATTTTGGGTTTCTGTATAACACAAAAATATTTTAAAATTTGACGTTTATCGCCTATTTACATAGTACATATAAAGTTTTTAAAAGTTTTTTTTCACTGTTTTCTTTTTCAAAGCTTTTTCAAGTTTTATACTAGACCAGTCTATTTTATTATGTATGAAATAACTTGTATTTATTTACGTAAACTTACCTGGAAAATAACTCAATGTTAATGAAGACATATTCTCCGCTATCAATCATATTTAATTCCTCAGCTACTAATAATATTTCTCTAATAGACTCTGGGTCAGCGCACATAATTACAACTGTAAAAAAAAGAAAACAACTCAAGGTAAATAATTTATGACGAAAATATTGCATAAAATAACTACTTATACTTATTATATAGATATAATTGGCAACATTTGAGTAAATTTATGTATACGTTATGCAAAATCAGAAATATGTTTATTACTTTCTTGCATTCATTTTGATTATCAACCTAGTTGGGGGTTGCATTCATTATAAGTTATTAAATAATAAAAGAAAATTTTCCTATTATTTTCTTGTTATTTCTTTTGCTTTAAAATTGTTACAATTTACAATTTTAGAATTCACCTAAAATAAAATTAAGTTAATTATAGTAATTTAAAAATGTTGTTTTTTTTTTGTATAAAAATAAATACATAACACTGGGATAGATTCATATTTTATAGTTATATAAGGTTTATAGTAGCATTTTTGCTAAATTTTATTTTGAATTTTTTAAATTAAGTAGTTTAGAAAATTTTCTCAGTATAAAATTACATAAAATTATACATTCAGATATATAAATGTGGGGTAACAAAGCTAGTTTAGTGAATAGTTTTTTTTTGGAAATCTGGGTTTATTATAAACTGTAGGAAAAATATCCTTTCATTCCCAAATAAGCTATAGGCGTTTTACAGACTCAAAGATAAATACCATACCTTGATATACATATGTACTTACATTTGCATAGATATCATCAGGATGAAATTGGAGTAAAATTCTTTTAAGAGAAATAGGGACATTTAATAACAATTTATAGGTCTGAATTGATCAGTTCAGTTTACTTTGATCTGAATATCTCATTTAAAAACGAAAATTGTTTTTTTTCAAAACACTTATTTTAAATATCAAAATGGTTTCGGATCTTGTTTGATATAGAAGAAACTAAGAAATAATAGAGATATTATATTACACATAAGAAAATCCAAATGAATGAGCTTTCGAAAAAACACGAATATGTTCCTTTCAAAATATATGAAAATTGCAGAAACGCATATACGAGTATACATATGTATTTTCCGAATGTTTTTAAACGCGTCAGCTGAGATTTTAACACTTTGATGTAGGAACAATTAAACTATTTAAACTATTGTTTAAAAAAGACTCATTTGAGAAGGCAATTATGGAAAATCTGAAGAAAAATTTCTTTTTTAATAATATCATCAATACAAAATTATTAAATAAATACGTATATAAATAAATAAATGAAAAAAATCCAATAAGAAATATTTCTGTAACAAAACTCAACATTATCACTCAAACACTTTTATTATCATTTGTTTATTCTATGAAGTTGAAAAGTTCATTTTATAAAATTCAAATTATGATAACAATAAAAAGTTAATTACACCTTATATAAATACCACCTATGTGGCTATAAATACAAAATATTAGATTTCTTAGTTTTACAATATTAAAAAAATAATTTTGCTGCTGCGCGCTTTAGGATTTTTAAAAGATAATTTTCTAAATCACGTCAAAGTGACAGTGACTTGAACATACAGTATTTGATTCTTTATTTTTAATTTTGACGTAAGTACCTAAAAATTTAAAAAAGCGTTAGCTTGCTAAAAGTGTCATAGTGCACATAACATAATTAAATAGTTTGTTATTAAATGAAAATGAAAAAATTTGGTTTCTAAATATAAAACATAACTTTTTTAAGATGTTACGATAGATATTAAGGTCTTTGTTTATTTTCTAAATTAATTAATAAATCATTTATTTAATTTCAGCTATAAATACACTAACCGTGCATATATTAACATATGTATGTAGATATATGTATAAGTATAGTATAAGTTCTTATATACAATTAGTATACATTGTTTATACAAAACGATGGTTAGAGTTTAAAATACAATATTTCTTTATTGTGAAAAAAAAGTGATTAATAACTTTAATGAACTTTCCCGAATTCTAAATGAACGAGATATGAGCAAAAAAATTAAAAAAAGTTAAAAGATTAAAAAAAAAAGTGGTAATTAATGTCCTGCCGAACATTTTGTTAAACAGTATCATCTCTACAAATAATACCAAAACAAAGTGGTAAATGAAGTGAAACGACATGTTTTAATTTCGTACAACGTGGGTTCATGGGTTTTACTTAAAAAATATTCATAAATAAAATATTTCAAATTACATTTTATTCAAATTTGATTGACATAAAATGTTATACTTTTATAAAATGAAAATACTTTTATAAAGGTGCCTTTATAAAATGAAAATAGGAGGCGGAAAATTACAAAAATTACGTTTTTCAAAATTCGTAAGGCAATAGAAAGGGGCGAGATGTGGTTTTGATACAGCAACCTGTCCAAAACGCCTTTCATTTTCACGATTTTGAAGAGTTATAACTGTTTAAAACTGTGAGTGAATTGATTTAAAGAGAAAGTTTATTTATTTGAAATTTTTACCTCTCCTCAATTAATAAAAGTTTCGTAAATTGAGGAGCAGAAGCACAGGCAAACAGATTTTTTGAAAATATGTTAAAATTTGTTTGAAATTAAAGAAGTAATTATTGTAAGGGATTTCCTAAAATTCACTATAAGTATAGTCAAGCATATTATGAAGTCTCACTTTTAAATGCTTATGTGGTTTCTGTTAAATTACCACATTTTGAGTAATGTTATAAATCGATGTTTCATATAAAAAGCTTATATTCATAATATGGAAAAAAAATTGTTATTAAAAGCTTGTTTTGATCTTGTTTTTCACCTGAATCTTATTGGGGCCCGTAGCCATATTATACTGTACAATGCAAACCTTTATTAATACTTAAGTATAAGATTTTTTTGTTTTAAATGTTAACTAATTATTTTTTTAATGGCTTTGAACAACTTTTTTGTTTTTATTTGATTTTTTTTATGGGAAATGTTCCGATAATGACCTTAAAGGTCGCGTTATTTAAATAAAATGTTACGAAATTCGAAATTATTATTATTATGATAAAAGAACAAAGATTAGACTCTTTTGAAATCGAATTGAGCATTTAAAATAACAATATATGTACATAAATATATGTTAAAAGATAAATTAACAGTTGCTGTACCTGTACCAGTAAGTATTTTTATTTTTTAATAAGAATTTGTGTAGAATGAGAAGAATTCTTCCAGTTCAACATGAAGCTTCCATGAAATCAAAAGTAATATTTTTTTAAAAATTATTGAGCAATTTAAAACTGATTCAATATTATTTTTCAGTTTTCAGAAAATAATTCTAATATTAATTTCTGACTGTTTGTATTGCATTTTAAATTTGCATAACGATTTTACATTCTTATAAGTGCTTGCGTCATAAATTAAAATAACAATATCCATAATAGCGTTGTACAAATTTGTTTTCAAATTTAGTTATAAACTTTTTCAAAACATATTGATAAATTTTTTAGGAAATACCTTTCTACCATTTTCCGCTAACCTTTAATAATGTTTTTTAAAAAATTTTTTTAAATATTTTTATTTTAATGCTTTCCTTTGATCTATGCGAAAACTTAAAATATTTATTTATTTATAAGGAAATCGGAGTGACCATAACAATTAAAATTGATAATGAAAATAGAACAGTAGGAGTATCTGAGTGAAGAAATAGAACCAATGCGATGTAAAGCGACGGCATACTTTTTCCATTTTTAACACAGAAAAACAGCGTCAAACACACATGGAAATAGACGACGCCAAAAAAAACTGCTAGCTATCAGTCATATTCGCGACTGTAATTTCGTTTCATTCTAAACAGTCCATTCATTTATGTGTATTATATATGAATTTTGACATTTCGCCGCCGAAAATCGTTCTTGTTCTGTTTTCACCTTAAAATAGAAACAGTACTTATGTATATACATATTATATTAAATTTCGAAAAAGATTAAAAATATAATAAGAATATTTTAGATCTCAATTCTTTTTAAAAAGTGTTGCATTAATGTTTGAGTTGCATACTGTTTTGACATACTATTTGCATACTATTTAATATATTATAATTAGTATATGGTGACTAGATAAATATAAAAGTTAAGTGCAAAACATTTTTGAATCAAAAATATTTCAAAATGTGCTAATAAGCACAACAAATATGTACGTACATGTAGATATATGTATATTTTAAAGGGTATATCAGTAGACTCACAAACCCTTAAAAGAAAGGTTTCAAATCTTATGACCTTATAGTGACTAGTATAACAGATTTGTTTCTTAAAATCAACTTGTCGCAAAATTTTGAAGAAATAAGGTATAATATTAACAACCGACGGCACAAGTGCAAATTGCACGATCAATTTTAAAGATTCAAATACTTTTTAAAAGGACAGAACAGTATGTGCTGCTCATTTAGTAAGTATGTACCATCTAAGTAAAAGAGGCACCTTATACTATTTCAATAAAAATAAAATTTTGTTTTTCTTCAGAATTTTGAAAAATTACTCAATAAATTCTAATACTTAGGTTATTTAAATTTTTTGAATTTTGCTTTGCTTTCGAACGGAATGCAATTGTTTTTAAAATTTATTCATTATTTAATCTTTAAAATTCTTTACATTAATGGAATAAAAAAAATGTTTAAATACATACACGCTTGTTTATCTTGACATGAGGTGCAGTTAAATATAAGGCAAAAATCTTGCCAAAAAAAACTTTGTACTTACATATATGCTTTCAGTGCAATACTTACAAGCAAAAATTTATTTTTTTATACATTAATACTATTTTAACGAATCTATGTATATATATATGTATGTATAGCAAATATTTCTTTATTAGACAAGTTGGTGCTACAAAATTTTTACACAATGTCAAATTTAAATTAAATTTAATTAAATTATTATAAAATCTTTTATATTACATTGACATAAATATATTAAATAAATATTTATATTAATTATATAAATGAGTAGAAACTCTCATTCGTTTCCATTGTAAATTGTGTATATATATTGTGCATGTAAATAGAAGGACAACTGTGTGGTTAATATTTTCGATTAGTCGATTGATTGTACTGAAGATAGATATGGGCAAAGGAACTCGTCCTCTTCGATCGCCGCAGCCACACATGACTTATTGTAGCTCTTCCATATTCCATTTATAACCCTCCGCTCCAAATAAATATGCGGAGATATCTTTCAGGGAGTTGGACGTGAGCTAACCAACATTGAGAAAGTACCACCCAAACCATTCGCGCCTCCTGATGGCCAGACCAGGACTTTCACACAAATTCGTTCCGGCAGAATCTACACATAGGGGAGTCCAGTTTAAGACGTTTGTGCATCCCCATAACAGCTTCGCATTATGATATCTCCAGTAGCCTCCCAGTGAAGGTTTAATTTCCCCTTAAGCAGAAAGCCAATGTTCTGTTCCTAATGGCAGACATTGACAGTCTCGTTGCTCCTGTACTCCGGCAATCAAATAAGCGTTACCCTGTTTGTTGATGCAAACTCCACCAGTGCGAGCACACAACTCCAAACCAATTTGGATGTGACATGAGCCGATTGGAGCGCCAATGGTGTGATTTTTATAGATATCACGCGTGTACGTCCGAGTTAATACTCATGTCACATGGACATGTTCATTTAATATATTCTTTAAAAAACCACTATGCTTGAACGTTTTCGTAACTATTGATAAATCAAAACTATATTTTTGTGTTCATTGACTTGTAATTTTTTGTTTTAGTGGAACTGCAATGTACGGTATGGTAGTAAGTAAATTCACTTACAAAATTTTCATTTATGTCAGCTTCAATTATAGTTATTTTACTTTTTAAATTTATTTTTTATTCACGATAAACTTTTAATTAGAAAGTTATTAAAAGTTTTGGCATTAAATGGTAGTAAGATTAAACCGTGAACAAAGATAATCGAAAAGAAGTTTCGTGAATTCTTAATTTGTTACAATTATTCATACAAGTAATCAATTATTAATTAAATACAATTATTTTTAGTAATTAAATTAAAAAACTATGAAATTTTCAAATATGTACTTATATTTTCTGATTATTATATACATTTTTGAAACTTACTTATGAAGCAAGTGGTGGATGAACAAGCTGTACTAATTATATGTATGTATGTACATATATAAAGCTTTTATTATAAAAAATAATAAAAGTGCTAATAATAGTGCTCTGTAGACTACTTGTGTTCCAAAAAGTCATTTAGTTAGTTGAATAAAGGACATGTTGTTTATTGAAAAAATTAAAGCAAGCAAGATCCTTGCATATTAATACAATGCAATCGAATCTTTAATAAAAACATAGCTATTGTAAAAATATGACCGAGTTTACTTATAGGAGTTTTAACTATTTCTTTATTTTTAAGGTTTAGTTTAGCTTAATCGAATTTACAATTAAAATTTGACATTCATAATTTATGTTACTGTGGTTGTTTCTTATTTAACCATTATAATTATTCATTAAAAATACACTTACCTCTTGTAAATTTTGAAAATCGTTGTAAATATTTTGTTGCATTATCCTTATCCATTTGTGTATTATAAAATTCATTAACAAGTGACATATCACCTAATGTATGTTTAACAGCACCCAAACAAAAATAACAAACTGAATTACCAGTTTTTGTTGGATCTTTAATAATATTTTGACCTAATATAGCTGTTATTGTCCAATTATAATGATTTAATAATAATTTCACAGCATTACCAGCCATATCGGAACTACCCATCATACGTGTTAATGTATCATAATGATTTTCTTTAACATTAAATGATATTGCACGTCCAGATGTACTTATAACTGGTATTTCCCAAACACCAGCATAACGTGATATCGGTGCTAATACATATTCACATGATAAACCAAATATAACATTTATTGTTGGATATTGTGAATAAATTTCAAATAGACCGATACCACCAAATGTTGATTGACAAAATGTATCACGTGCAATAACAGTTACATTTGGTTTATATACTAAATCACTATTTTCTTGAATTTTTATAATTGCCAATTCAATTGTTGGCATAACATTTGACATTATACAATCATTAGCATTATCGATTTCATCATATGTCAGTAATATAACAAATACTAAATTAACAATTGGTAACTCATTTTTTATACTATAATCATTATTGTTATTATTAACATTATTTATATTATATTTCATTGAATTTATATCATTATTATTATAATTATTATTTATTTTATTATAGCTTTTGTAATTATATATATCATTTGTTGGACTGTAAGTTTGATTAACTTGTGTCAATAAACTGCGATCTTTAGACCGTGTTCGTTTGGATGATGTTAAAAATAATGATGATGATGAGATCAAATAAAATATAATGAATTCGAGTTTAAATTCGAAATTCATTTTTTTAATATTTTCTGTTATTTATTTATTTTTTTTGAGTTAATTTTTATTTTTGATAAATAAATTTAAAATAAATTTTAACTTTTCTCTTCTTTGATATAATGAAACACTTCATATTTTAGTGTTTTGCTTTTATTTCACTCTTATCAAATTCTGAATATTGTGAATTTCACTTGTTTTATTTATTTTTAATATTTTTATTTTATACACATACATGTATAATTCTAATTAATTTTTTTCCATTTAGTTTCAATAAGTTTCACGTTATATTTATTTTTATTTCATTTTCATTTTCCTTCAATAATTCAACGTACTCAAAATATTCAAGTAATTTTCCGTTTAAATCTATTGAATTTTCATATACATAAATTATTTTTGCATTAATTTTACATAAATTTTAATTATCATTAATACTTTGAACACATTAATAAAACGGCTTGAATAAATTCAGTGTTATAATGATGAAGGCTATGTGTAGGATAAAAACGATATAAGAAAATTTATGTTGAATGTATGTACGTACATTCGTATTGTAAAAGTGTAAAGGTTCCCCGGCAAATAAAGCGTTTCATTGTACATTTAAATTTGTGTAATCAATAACAGTGACGTGACTTTATGACTGAGAAATGATTACATTAAAAATTTAATTTACAAATGTTCAAGTTTTGCCAATATGGTTTGCTTTGAAATTTACATTAAGACCGTATTATGTAAGCACCTAAAATTAAAATAAATTGTTGAAATCACTTTCCCGAATGATAATTGAATAGAAATATTTTGACACATTTTCAAGGTCTGTTCTTTATTTCGATCTGAATCTACAATGTCTTTTTACAGTATAGATAAAATTTTTCATGACTTTTAATTTTCATTTAATACTGTGCATTTAGAAAAAATAATTAGAAAACTCCTACAGTAGTGCGTTAGACCATTCATTTCTACATATTACTATGTAATACTATACAAGTATTCGAAATCGAAATATTAATTTTATTAAAAAGTATGTAATTTCATTTTCAAATCCTTCAATATTTTTTATAATATATTTAAGTATGAATAATAATTATTAACTTAATTACAATACACTTCAGATAAATATCAAAGAAAAATTAATTATTACTTTAAAATAAAAATTTTTTTACAAGAGCCACTCGATTTTTATATAAAATCAATATGATTTTCGCATTATTGGAAATTTTTAGGTCAATTAGATTTTATAAATTATTATTCTCTTTATTTTAAGCCACTCATGTATATAATTATAAAAAATTCATTTCAATATAATATAAAAATAATAATCATTTGGTTAAATGATATAAGAACCTTTTATTTTACTTTTCCAATTTTCTAAACTACATACATAGTTGTGTATACCAGTTTTACTTAAAGCAAATTGAATCGATCTGAATGAAGTTTTAAGTAAACTCAATTAAATGCCATATGCTCAGTATTGTCGAGAAATAGGTTGACCACGAAGATTTTGCTAAAATTCATTCTAAAAATAAGCTGTCATTAGTCAAAACTTCAAAAATGTCAAATGTCAGTATTCGTATAGTTCTTATTGTGCAGATCAGACGTTAAAATTAGAATTTTTCTGTATAAAGCAAAGCGTAGCTTTTATAATAATTATTTACTTTCGATTATCTACCTAATTCAATAATAATTTAAGTTTAAATAAAAGATCAATATTAATAGTTCTGAATTAGTAAAACCATGTTGCATTTAAAATAAGATTCATACAGTGTCTTGGTAATCATATCTCAATTTTAATATACATATGTATATATAAGTAATATATTAAATTATAAATCTTTACACTATACAAATAAATAAATTATACATAATTTATTAAAATTATTAAAAAATTTAAAAGAAAAATGTCGAAATTAAATTAGCATAATTTTTTCAGTAAATTAATCCGGAACATGATTATATTAAAAAGTTGCAAAATTTCAATTTAATTTTATGAAAAAAAAAAACTTATTTGTTGGTTTTTAACAAAATAATTAAATTACGCAAAAGTTGCATTATTTATTTTTAAATAAAAATTGTTGAAAAATATTACGCTCTAAGGACTTTGGTTCATTGTATGTGTAGGGGTCTTTGCATGCAAACACATACATATACAAATTATTTATTAATTATTATCAAGATATATGCATATAGTGGGTTTAAAATGTGATTATGGTTTTGGTCATAATACTCATAAAATTTTTAAAAATGTTTATTTTTTTAATTTAGTGATAAAAATTTGATTGCAATTAATAATTCTTTAAAACCATAAAAGGTTGAAGTAATTTTTTAATTAAAAATAAAATATCGTTTAAATTTAACCTTTAAAAGTTTTTTTAGGAATTTCCATGTTATTACTTAATTAATATTAGATGCCCGATATCCACGGAAGGTCTCTTATCCGTAATTCCCATTTATTGTTTAAAATTTTTGTCTCTTAATTTTTGGGTTTCGGACTCTACTAAAGGAAGTGTATGTATGTAGAATGTAGATCATAAAATTTAACATTTTTACTCATTCTGTAATTTGATTTAGTGTAAAAACAGAACGAAAGTGTAAAACGGCGAAAAATTTCATATGTTAACACAGAATAGAGAAGTGGCTAAATCACCTCTTCAGTACATTATCATTCTTATATAAACAAGGGTAAATTCGTATTAGTAATTTCGCTTAGTTCTTGGCAGTTCCATTTAAAAACATATGTGTATTTCATGTGAATTTTTATGTTTCGCCGCGAAAAATCGCTCTTGTTTTGTTTTTCCTGTTACGAGTATATACTTTTTTTTCTAAGAGTAGGAACATTTCAGTTTTTTCTTCGATTTTGATCTCCCATGAAGAATTTTATTGTGTGTATTATAAATAATTGTTTATTCATTTTTCAAAATTTATGATCAAATCAAATAAAATTTTGTATAAAATATGAGGTAAAAGTAAAAAAATCATAGAGTGTTTTGAAAGCATCAAATGTTTTTTTTTCAATAAATAAAAAGCAAGATATTAATCTACAAAAATAAACTTTGAAGGAGATAAAAATTTGTTTTTTTTTATGTTGTTTTCTTTGAATTTTTGTGCTATATTTTTGCTTATTTAAAAGTATTTTTAGATATTATGGCGAATATTTTAATTTCAGAATAAAAATAATCTAGTTGACTATAGAAAAATTGAGTTTTTCCTGAATTTTTTTTTCCTCAATACTAATATTATATTTTTCTTTTGTTGATTATAATGACACATATTATATTTTCATTGTCAAGAAAATCAAAACAAATTTTAGAAGAAAGTGAACCTAGACGGACCGGGAAATATTTGATAAATTTTTTGAAAAATTATAGAAGAAACAACAGAGAAAAAAAACTATAACATGTATAAGAATCTTGTTTAATAATTAGAAAGTAAACAATAGCTATATACATCATAGAAAGAAAATAAAAGAATTCAGATTTACATATGTACATACATATATCGAGAATGCTGTAATAATCCGAATGAAATGTCAACTTTAAGAAGAATGTAATAGGAGAGTGTAAATTTCGCAGAAGAAATTTCATCTTTTGCGGAGCGATTATTTCAGGGATTTGGAGAGAAAAGTTTTACATAAGTGCATTTGTACATATATATATGTATATACTTACACATAAATGTCTATTTTAAAACAGAAACTTCACTAAAAAGAATTTGCTTTTATCCTCCTTATTAATATTTAATTTTAATAACATTATTCAATGAATATCTGGATTTGAAACTTTTTAATTAATTTTATATTGGTAAACCTAATTTCTTTTTGAGTACAAATAATGAGACTAATTATCAAGAAATACAATGACAATTGTAATGCAATACTCATTTGTTCGAGAAAGTGTAGATGTGCTCCAGATTGGCAACTTATTAGTAGTTTGAACATGTACATAAATTAGACGCTGGTATTTTACTTGAATTTTCAAAATATACGGACACGTTTGTCGTACATGTCACTCTTAAGCGCATCTGAATTTTTCTCTTTTTGTTTGTGTGATTGTTATAGTATCGAAATTCTCATATAAAAGGAAAAAACTTGCCTATACTTTAAATGTTATTAAAGTAATTTTTCGATTTTAAATATCAGAAAGGTCACTCAATTTTTTGAGAGGACATTCATTATAATGGAAGAGTTTTACAATAAGCATAATAACCTTTAGTATTTTTTTTTTCAGTGTAAATTATTATATCACCACTCATCACAGGAACAAAAAGTTTTTTCGCTAGAATTCAAAGATTTTTTTTTTGAATCGTCTTAAAATAATTGTACAAAATATTTTTGATACTCAAATATAAATTATTATGTAAGTGTAAAAAAATCATTTGATAATAATAATGTATTACATTTATATATGTATATTATATGTATGTATACGTGTAATATAAATATTACTACATAAATATGTGCATAAGTAAGTGATTTTAATTCAATAAACTTTTAACAAAAATAATTTTTTTAATGCTTTAAATATGAATTTAGCACGTGCTATTTAATATGATACCACAAAAACTTTTAAAATTTAAATAATAAATAAATATATATATATAGACATTGTATTCTGCTTCATATACATATACATTAAATTTAATGCTCATTTATATAGAACGTATACAATGGACATGCGATGATATGTAAGCACTATGAATTTTAATGTACATACACATGTAAGTATATATGCATATGTGTAAATTTTTGCTTAAAACTTCATTAAAATTCTATTCGAATACGCGATAATAAAAAGAAAAACAGAAGCAAATTTATTCTAAAATAAGTAGAAAAAAAATTAAATTAAAAAACATAAATAAATATTTTTATTTTTAGTACAAATGAGACGCCTGTATTATGTTTAGATTTAGCTGTAGTCCGAAAAATTATGCCGAAAATATTTGAAGCATAACTACGTTTAATAATGAATAAAAATTTATTGCAATTGTTATGGGTCAAGATTTAAAAAAAAAATTTATTCAAGAATTTATTCATGTTTCTTTAGATTATGAATTGATCGCTTTAACTTTTTGAAAAGATTTTTGCAAAAATTTAAAAAATGCGCATAATGTTTTTAAATTCTCGTCGGTTTTAAATTTACTACGATAAAATTATTTTTATCATCATATACAGTTTCGTAAAGTTTAAAAAAAAAGGAGAAAAAATGGAGTTGATCATGTCAATTCTGTGATATCCGAAGTTATCATCCTATTGGCGACTTTATAATACCCATCGACATATAAGTTCGCACGAAAATAGTAATTGCAGTATAACCGCGCAAAATTTCAGTACTGTTACTTCAATAGTTTTATATATATTAAGTATATGACAAAATAACTATTGAATTTGTTCGACAGCTGGAGTCAAAAAATTTCAACGATTTGTATCACACATAACAACCCCAATAATATATTTGCCTGTGCGAAATTTCGATATTATAGCGTCAATTTCTGGG